GATAGGAGGAGAGATTGGAAGCGACACCAAAGCAGCGGAGTCGCATACACGACACCACCTCTCACGGAGCCACACAACAACAACAACAACAAACAACAAAACAACAACAACAACAACAACAACAACAACAACAACAACAACAACACAACAACAACAAACAACAACAACAACAACAACAACCAACAACAACAACAACAACAACAACAACAACAACAACAACAACAACAACAACAACAACAACAACAACAACAACAACAACAACAACAACAACAACAACAACAACAACAACAACAACAACAAAACAACACACAACAACACAACAACCAAACAACAACAACCAAAAACACAAACAACAACAACAACAACAACAAGCGACTACTAATACTACTACTAGTACAACAAGTGACGCCTCGACCATGGCCCGATGAAGGGTTGTCTTCCGTTCGACAGTTCGATTCGGTCGGTGACTTCTTCCACACGGCCACATGGCGAAGTGACCATGGCGTCTCCTCTTCTATGGAGTGATGCCTGCAACAAGCAGCTACTGCTCTATACTCTACTCGTATGCAGTGTTCTACCGGAGCAAAGGCAATGAGAGCCCATCGATCCGTTTGTCCTTCTCCTCTGAGGCATTGCTGATTGTTGCTACGCTACTGTCCACAAGTCCTAACAAAATGTCGTCCTTTTTGTATCCAGTTCAAGCAGAGGCTCGGAGATACCAATGTGGATGCATGTGCAGAGTTGGATACACTTTGGTGATGATGTTGCATTGACTCTGGTGGACTCCATGGCTGTTGATGGGGGTGGAGCTGCCTTTTTGGATTGGTTTGTCTTGATCCACTGCAGTGTTCACATTTAAACTTCACTCCATAAACTCGAAAAGATGTCATGCTGCTTACTATAGAATTTTCAGTACTAGCATTGCTACCGTGCTTTATCTAGATACGGACCGCGAACCCAATGTGAGCAAGACAATCAGACCCAGGGCAGTTTTGAAATGTTTGAGGATCATTCAGCCTTTGCAAACACTTACTAGAAGACTTCGTGATTTGAGGAATAAGGTTGGGGGAGAGTTGATCGAGCAGCTGAAGATGAACAAGCGTTCAACATTTTCAGAAGAATACTCCAAAGAAGACGCATAACTCGAAGGGAGAGGAGCCAATGTGGGAAGAATCTGATGCGGAGTTGTGGCTGAAGCAAGATGTTGCAGATGGGTGTCATATTGGAGTGAAGCTCAAGGACCTTCACCAAACAGGTATTTCGGGGGCGCATCAATCAAGAGCTCCACTGACTGCGAAAGCTTCACAATTATCTGGAAGACAAAGACAAGGCAGCCATGAGTGAGCCTAGCTAGATGGGACAACGATGCTTCAGATGATAGTAGCAAGGGCAATGAATAGTCCTATCGGAATAGAAGCGCCATCTTCTGTAGCCTCAACAATAGGAGATCGATAGTAGAGCTGATAAGAGCCGATAAGAGCTGTTTTCGCTAAGAGCTGATTGACTTATTAAGAGCTGATTCACAAATCAGCTCCTAATGCTAAGAGCTGTTAGGAGCTGATTTCAAATTTAGGAGCTGATTCATTGATCGTTTCAAATTGAGGAGCCTTTTTTGAAACCAGCACCAGCTCTTAAATCCGCTGTGTGATCTGCTGACTCGGGTGGCATGCACGGCTTAAAACTGGTATTCAAATAATTTTGATTTGAAATTTACTGATGCGCATTCTGGATTCCCCAGAGGAGTTATTGGCAAGTTAGGGAAGGAGATGGCTCTGGCGAAATCAACTTTCAGCAGCACTTTCAGCATGGATGGAATGAATCCACCCTTGGAAATCATAAAACCTATACTCAGTATTGTACTCCTGCGGTACTTTAGACCTAGCTACCCGCAGAGGTGGTACCAGTAGACTGTACCATACTGGTACCACCACTAGCTAGCTTTAATATTGAGTTCCTTGAATACTGGATCTCTGAAGCTTTTAATTTGTACGGTGAGGTATTGTCCGGTGCGGTGCGGTGGGAGAGTACAAAAATCGTCAACAAAAATTCTCCGCAAAATACAAAAAGACTGTCCACTGATAATTCAGAAGTAATACTAATACAACACTAAAAGTGTTCGGGGGGAGTGTTCAGGAGAAGTGTTCGGTTGCAGTGTTTGAGAGAAGTGAAACCAAATTTGCAGAGGAATGCGATTCTCAGCTTGCCTTTTGTTAAAATATGGGACTGTACGGTACCGCAACGGGTCAACATCCAAAGCCCCACCGTACCGTTACGCATGCTGACGTCATCTCAACTCGCTCCTTATCCTCTACCAGCCCTTCATTTTTTGCTTGCTCATTGACGTCCTCAAAACCAACACAAGCACCTTCATGTTGTCACCCGTGTTAGTTTCTTCATAGCAATTACCCGCCGTCTGTCTCGCCCGTCTCCACCATGCCCCGCCCTCCCTCGTCTCTTGGTCGCCTGTTGTTATCTGATAATCCCAGCAGGAGAATCCTTCGTCTTCCCTTGACGACGACGACGACGAGAAGGAAACGGCCTTCGAATGAACCATGGAGCACTCGGATAATGGCCATGTCCTCTACACCGGTAGCATCTTCAGCTACTAGCAGTAGTGCCGTCTCCTTGTTCCCGACACAACCAGTGGATCAAAGGTACACCATCAGCGAGACTCGGACCGTCCCATCTCATATCGTCCGTCCTCCTTATGCGGAAACGGGCAAGGTGCCATCATCCTTTTTCCCCGAACGAGTCCTGATTCACGACGATGCATCGATTCAACGCATGAGAGCAGCGGCTCAATTGGCACGTCGAACTCTAGATCTGGCTTGTGCACAAGCCAAACCGGGACTGACCACGGATGATCTTGATGACATGGTCCATTCCGCCATTATCGAGAAGGGTGCCTACCCTTCGCCGCTCAACTACGCGGGATTTCCAAAATCACTCTGTTCATCTGTCAATGAGGTCATCTGCCATGGGATTCCCTCCACATCGAGGGAATTACAGTTGGGTGATGTCGTGTCCTTTGACGTCAGTTGTTATCTCAATGGAGTGCACGGAGATAATTGTGCCACTGTGATTGTCGGAGACGAAGATGACACAACCGGCGATGACGACAAAAACACCCCGTGCGATTGGAGAGGAGTCCCCTACAAAGCGAATTTTGATTCCGACCAGGAAAAGGAACACTTGGAACAAGCCAGAAACTTGGTCCTGAGCACACGTGATGCTCTGTATGCTGCCATTGAGATGTGTCGCCCCGGAAATTGTCTTTCGGACGTTGGAGCTGCCATTCATCACGTTGCCGACACTACCGGTTACTCAACAGTACAAAAATATCGAGGACATGGAATTGGTCATCAGTTCCATTGTGCTCCCTATGTCAAGGTAAGCAAAGCTTGCTGTCAAAACTTATTTCTCAGGAAAGAGAAACAGGGCATGATCTAACTTACTTCAATATTTTTTTGCTTCTACCAGCATTTCCGTAACAGAGACAGGCTCGAGTTACAACCTGGAATGATTTTCACCATTGAACCCATGTTTACAATGGGATCGGAGGAATGTTTTGAATGGGAAGATGATTGGACTGTTGCGACAGTGGATGGATCCCTTGCAGCACAGTTTGAGCATACCATTTTGATCACCAGAGATGGTCCACCAGAGATTTTGACGTTGCCTTAGTTGTAATCAAATTTTACTACTAAGAAGTACATGCGTGAGCTAATCGATCAATGACTGTGGCCATGATTAAGTTGAGCTGATTCCACATTCAGCAGCCTTTGATTGGACTAGCTGGGAAGGTATGATCGTAATCGCCGGGGCAGCATTAAAAACTGGCCAACAGAAGTGATCCTATTCAGGCAGTTCCTCTTTACGGTGGGGTATGCGCTGAAAATGAGAGAAGATAGCCCATTGGATATGATGTGACATGCTCTTCAGGTGGTCATCTGGACAATCTGAATTGGGTTCAAGTGGTTGCCTTGGGATGTACAAGGTAGAGATGCCAGGAAGCTGCTATGAATGAACATCCTGAGTAATGTATTTCGAACAGAAATCTACTGTAGGTACCAGGTAATGGTTTGATGATTCGATTCCAACCCAAGCTACAAACAACGAAATTTAAATTAACGTACTACGCAAAATTTGCTCTGGGTTCCTTCTCCCCTCTGGAGCCCATTCAACTAATCACTTTTGTGGGTACCGATGCACTAAAACATGTGCAACTAGATGCCTTTGTCCAGACTAGCTTGACCCTCCTCCTTCTCCCCTCTGGAGCCCCTTCAACTAAACACTTTGTGGGTACCTCCCTAGTAGAAAAAGACGGAGGACTCCTCTACCCAGGCTTATCAATCTCCACTCACATCCCAGCAGCTACCAGCCATCAGATTAATATTATTGAGTTACATGTATGTGGACCAACAACTAACTGTCAAAGGGATGCACTTATCATACACTGTACAATGTCATGTACTTGACACGATTCATGAATGAGGCGTCCCGTGAAGTTTTTTTTCAAGTTTCCACGGTACGGAAGTAAATGTGCCACTAAAGGTGGAGGAGCATTCATGGCTTCGAGGACAACGACCTTGTGAGATCTGTGACAAGCTGTGACATCAATTGCTTATCTCTTTTAGCTTCTTTTTCTCTTTTGCAACTCCGAATCTTCGCTGTTATAAGCTTTTCATCTGCTGAATTGATAAACCAGGACCTAGCTAACTGGGAGCTAGTGTTGTACAATACCCTTTTGGACGGTAAAACTGGATTGACATGGTCCAACAAGCGCTGAAAGTTAGGATGGACAAACCATACTAGAATCGCATTTGGAGATTTCTGACCAGGGGCACAAGAATCCCATCTGTCAATTCTTCAATCCACACAATCCTTCTCATCATTTTTACGCGTCACTGTGGATATTGAAATAAAAATCCTTGAAAATGCACCCTGGAGTACCATAACACACACTCCACAACTGCGAACTTGTAAACCGAAGCCAATAAAAGACCTTCAATTCGCCGATACATTCGTAGAGCTGTCGTATGATAGTGGTGAAACATAACCGGCGGCTGGAATTTGCAACGGGAAAGTCTTAGCAATCCTTACGTTACAGCTGGTACTGTTTCTACGTCGCGATCTTTGTGACGTGATGAAACAAAAATACCGGTACCTGTCCCTCTTGGCTACGGCCACAGCTGTTGTCTGCTCGCCACCACGTGTGTTTGCGGATCCCACTTTCCCCACTCCTCTCATCTTCTCTGCTGTCCGTTTCTTGGTTGGATGACAGCTACCGTACTAGTACCTCCTTCGATTCATTATCTCAATCCAGTATCCGCTGAAAACTAAAACTGAAAACAGTAACCATGATCCCCATCCGCCCCATTGACGAGGAATTGAACAGGCTACACCAGCCAGTGATCACTGCAGAGGAAGAGGACCCACAGTGGGATGTAAGTTCAGATGATAGTGCCATCATTCTCATTAGGAAAGAAAGAACCGTTTCGATCTTCTGATTAAATCCCGATTCTCACTATTTTGGGTCTTTTGCTTCTCTCATCCTCTCCTTCTGTTTGAAAACAGACTGCTCTTCATGGCTTTAATGTTACCAGCTGTGTGACTCGACCCACAGTTAATCATGGAAGGCGCCACAGTGCTCCTTCCATTCCCATGGTGACATCGGTCGCACCTCCTTTGCATCCGGCAACGGGAAGATACCACGGATCGAACCGCCACAGGCAGCAGCGTTCCATGGGGAGTGGAATCAGCAGTCATGGTGGGCCAGTTGTGTACCATAATGTCGTCTATCCCATGACATCTACCGGTAGGCAATCCAACAGCCTCTACTACGGAAGACCCCGACACCATCACGTACCGGTCATCCCCGAGCATCACCAGCATCACCATTACTATGTCCATCATTATCATTCAGGTACCAGCCAAGGCTCACCTGGAGCCATCCCTCGAGTCAGTTGGTAGACGAAGCAGTGGATCAAACGCACTGATTATCAAGTCTCGTCAAAGAGTCGAGTCCGAGACAATCCAACCTTACAAAACGGCCGACGACACACACAAAACACACCGGTCATTTCGCCCTACCCATTCGTCTTGCCGCAGTTGCAGGACGCTACATGCTACATCCCTCTGCTCGAGAAATTGAAAGCCCGAGAATCTTCGCTTCCAGAGGCAGTGACCGTGAAAGCTTCATCTCCAAATTCGATCTTCGCTAGCTAACTAGAAGACCTTGTGATCAATGAATTTGTTGTGCTAGTACTACATGGTAAAAATTGAAGTAGCTGACTGTTTCCGGGAGCTGGCTTTCGTTTCATGCAAAACCGACCCCTACTGGCTTTGCTACCCTCATCCAAGATCCAAACCATTGTTGAAGACCTCTCGGGAAACCTATAGAATCAAGTCCACTGTATTGCAGTGCGTTTGCCGGTTAGTGTTGACTGAGTATAAAGGCTCCTATTGAGACTGTCGTGATTCTCAAAAACTATCTTCCATCTGTGCCCCCCTCCGGTCCGAAGCGCTTGAGGGTGTAAAACGATGTACAGCCCTGTTTCAGCAGACCTTCCGTGTTGTACAAGCGGCATATTCTGGAGCATATCACTTCTGGTAGTTCACCAAGAGAATCATCGTCTAGTGACATGGCATTCATAGAACTGCCATCTTCGGCGCTTGTTGTTGTACTTTGGTAGACGCATAATTCTGTATAGAATGCCTTCCGGTTTTCACCAAACGTCAGGTAGCGAGGGACCTGCCGATTGTGTTATTGAATCGATAGATTTGAAGATGAGTATACAAGTTGCCAGATAGCTAGTAGTACACAGATGATAAGGATGATACAGGCGGAGGCGTCAGTCACATGCACTTACCTGTATAGAGACGGATCCTAGTAAGAACCCAACTTGACCACTATTCCCGTTGTTGCCATTGTTCCAGTCAATGTACACCATTCGTTCCTCCTTGGGTATCCGACGCGAGAGTGACTGGTTCTCGCAGACTTGTCCCGCCCTGGATTGAGAGAGAGCGGGTTCCATCATAGCACCCATACACTTTCCAGCACTATTGTTTTCTCGAACCTCTTCACCAAAGTCCCACAGCCAGTCTCGTGCTACCTTTTGGACCCCCACAGCCCAGCTGCCAAAGGGTGGTGGACTATCATTGTAGCTGTTGCCTTTTTTGGAAGCTCCAAAGCCCTTTCCTTTAGTGCTGGCTGATTGTAGTTCTCCTGGTACAGTGGGAAAGTCACGAATGATGGAGTCTCCCAGCCAAGCACCAGACGTGAGTTCCAGAAGGCTCATCGGATGACGTGAAAGTAAGGGTCCCTGGTCATCGCGTTTGGATGGGTCATCGCGTTTGGATGTAGACATTGTTGGTGGTGTTTGAGGAGCAGACTTGGACTGTGCCTTTGCGATGGATTCTTGTAACTGTTGCAATCGATCGTCGGAAGACGGTGAAGACAGCGAGCCGTCACGATTGCTTTCATTACCGTCATCATCAATACCCTTTATTTGTCCGGCAATCTTGTCGACAATCCGATCAACGTCCGTCTGCATCTCTAGTAGATCCGTGACTGTCAAAGGAGTGGCTCCTTCGGGTGCAGCAGCAGCATCATCGTCACTATCCGATGGCACTCTTTGTTCATTGCAAACGACAACCCGAATAAGGTCCTGCTTGACACCATAAAGGGCCAGCATTCGGACTCTTTCATCGTCCGAAACGGCAATGCACTGCTCGACGGCAAACTCGACTGGTTTCTCTGTTCCAGTCAAATCAACTGGGACTTGTTGTAGTTGTTGTTCTCCTTCTGCAGATGGTTCGTCATCGTCATTGCTGTCTCGCGACGAAGATTGTTGCTGCTGTTGATGCAGAGAATAGGATGCATCCACGGCGTCCACATCGACACTGGAATCGGCAATATCTAGACTCCGCGTGGATGCAAACGCAAGTGGTTCTTGCTCGTTGCCTTGTTTGTTTTGCCATGAATAGACTTCGTTAATGCTCAACCGTCCTCGTGGATTGTAGGACAATTGGATATCCACTTGGTATTCTGGAGACTTTTTCTTGAGGACAATTCCAGCGGCAACATCGGCCGTGACAGTGAAAGAAGTCGCATGGCCCTTCCAGGATCCTTGATGGAAATCTCCCAGGGATTGCAGGGCTTCTTGGGATTGTTCGGCCTTTTCGTTTTTCATGTTCACTCGGGACCATGATGTTGATAATGAATGGCTTCTACCGGTACTAGCTGGACTTGCTTGGGGTCTCCTAGATGGAGACAAGACTCTGGAGAATCCTGATCCCGAAGAAAAGGCTCGGCATTGCTCGAGAACACAGAGCGATGACAACACCAGGAAACCTGCCAAACAGGATTGAGTGGAGAGCATCATGGTTGATATTGAAACTTCTGGTTCGCTGTGATGCAAAGGTTGTATAAGTATGGTACTCAGTATTCCGTTACTGTGTGGAGTGTAGACTACTACATGTAGAGAGTGAGAGAGATGATGAGAGAGGAGGATCGACTTTTCAAAAATAAATCAGATATGCAAACAAAGAACGTGACACGTGGAAGGTGGACTAATCCCTAACCCCTACTAAGCATGTTTCAAACGTCCGCCGTTGCTTTTGTCGGCCGTTGCGTCCTTTCTGCGAGCCTCGTGTCAAGCTCTTTAGGCCTCTGAAACTTTGAAGAGCATCGTGCTGAAGCTTGTGCTCGTCAATAGTGTTGTTCTTGTTGTTGTTCGATCGGCAATGGACGTTTGAATGCCGTCGTTCATTCGGAAAACACCATTGCTCTGTTTGTTGAAGGCGTGAGGAAACACATACATTCCGAGCTCGGGCAACCAAAATCCTCGACGTATTGAATTGGACGAATCGGGCTTGTCGCCAAATCTGTCAGTGTATCGGCACAAACCCTAAACGAACGTTCATGGCAGTTGGGAAACTTCGTGTCAAGATTTTTCATAGATTTGCACATATATCCCAAAGTGTTCCACCAAGAAACCTATTGTTGCGATGATCCTTGCAGCTGCCACCGGGAGGTGGTTCTGGATAGTTCTAGTCTTCTTGGTGGGAGTCGACCATGTGCAGCCTACTCCCGTCGCAACCTTGACGGCATTGTTGCCCGATGTCATGGCGGATTTCGAAATCAATTGGGAGACGGGAGACCTTGCCACCGTGTCGCCGTCTACCCGCACTGCGTACCTCTTTCGCCACAACGACCTGTTCCAAGAAGTCGGAACGGGAAACAACATCTCGGCCAGCATGAATGAGACTGTTTGCCAGACGCCAGTCTCTATCAGTTATAAACGCTTCAATATGCTTCCATATTATGCCGTGGCGTGTACAGAAGAGTCTGAAATCTACATTATCGATGCCCTGGGCTTCACAATTGTGGCCGTCATCTCAATCGATGGTCTCGGGGCGTCCAGCATCGTATCCTCGCGCAATCCCAATGATCCCTTTTATTACTACTTTTACGGCGCTGGTCACGACTCTGTACTGGCTGCAATTGATGTGCGAACCATGAGCAATGTGGGCCAAGTCTATTATGACAGCGTAATGGATGGAGCAGTGTCTGTGGATGGGACAATTCTCTACATTCGTGGGTCATGGTCCCCCTCGGGTCTAGAATCCATTCGGCTGGTCAATGCTGTCGACACGACTAACAGCACTCTGGTCGCGGGCGACTTTTCACGGCCAGAGTTTTACCAAGAATACTATGAACACGTCAACGTAGCTCCGTTCGTGCCGGATACTCTGGGGCAAATGACAGGAGTTGGAACAGTTATCCTCTCGAGGACACTGGATCGTCAACTGGGTAGTTTGGACTTCCCCGTCATTGCATGGGGAGATGAGAGCAAGTACATCTTTGGTTGGGCCTATCCAGAGGGTGAATGGTGGTTCCACGGCTATGATTATCTAGAGCAGGACGCTCCTGTCATAGGCATTTCCGTTGCGTCATATACTTCTTTCGAACCTGATCCCGCACCTAGCAATGAAACCCACAGCAATACTGGCATGGCTATTCCCAGGGACTTTTTTGATCTAGAGCTGCCCGAGATTCCACGGGGGGCCAACAATCCAGGAGACTTCAAGCGCATCGAACACCGAAAGGAGCTATTGCCAGTTGATCTCAAAGATGAACTGATACTGGCGTTTGGGAATCGAGTCAGCGTCATTCCGTATCCATGTTTGCTGGGCGAAGATGTCATCACACTTTCTGCCAATACGACCGTCATATACGTCGGAATGGGAATCCAGATTATTCAGATCGAGGTACGGCAGGGTGGATCCTTGGTGAAGAATGAGTATCAAGTCACATTTGAAGATTTACCTGGAGGAGCTTCATTCGATCCATTCAGTGGCTTTTTGGCGTGGCAACCAACAGAAGAGAACATTGGGCCGTTGGAACTCACTGCATCGCTCACCCCTGCAGGTGGGGTGCACAGCAAGAGCGTTTGTACGTATTCTCTTAGCCTGAACGTGACCAACCCAACCATTCAGCTCCCCTTTGTTCCGACCAGGCTCATTGTGGATGACACAGAAATGGTGGCAGCTGGCTGGCATACCTGGGACGGGGCTCGCAGTCGGATTGCCTTGATACCTATACGTGACGGCATCAAAGCGGAAGTGCAGGTCAGGGAATTCAACTACGATGTCGTCCATGTCTTTCTTTCCAGCAAAAGATTAGGGGTAGCACGAAACCAACGAAGCAACAACCAGAGCATGCAGCTTCGTATTTTTGATATTTCCAACAATGAGTTTGTGGAGATCACGACGCTCTACATTCCTGTTTCCAATGGTCAGAGCCAGGAGTTCTCGGATTGGTCAATGGTTGGGAGCACATCTCTTCAGGTGGTAGTCGACAACACACGAATCCTACATTATGACTTGGATACCTTTGAGTTGACGGAAGAAGATCTATACTACGCAACTACAATTCCCAACAGCGACAGTCCGTTACGGGAAGGGTACATCAAAGACGGTATTCTCTACAACCCTTTAAACGGAAAGCCTGCCGTTGTGCTAGACCAGGGTCCCTTCCCTCTCGAAGACAATAGACGTCCGGCTTACCTTGGCTCTTCCATCCCATCATGGCCTTTTGAAGTTCCCAAGTACCTCAATGACAATGACATGGTTGTATTCTACCAGGCAGGTGTCTGTCTTCAGTTGGAGGCAGTGATTGAAGAGACCTTTCGTGAAGGCGAGACGCAGCGTACTGCAAAGGTCCTTCTTTGGATGATAGACCTCAACGGTAACATCCTGGGTACTAAGACTGTTCGAAACGAAGGCACTGATGACAGTATCTTTGCCTATGATGTAAGGAATACATTGGCAGCTGGCCATGACATGGTCTACATTACATTTCGAGATTCCTTCTATTGGTACAGCCCAAGCGATTTACTGGGAGACAGGTTCGGAGACAGGTTAAGTCTACCAATCCAACAGTCCACCCCAGCTGCACACTTTGCTCCGAATCAGACCCATTTTTGTGTCACTGGCGAAGGACAATTCGAATTGGACCACACAGTATTGGATGGGGAGGGACCTTTCCAGTTTTTCTTCTCAACGGCGATTACTTCCGACCTGAATGATGTCATTCGAATGGACAGGACGGACGGAAGAGTTCTGCTTGAAGGAGATGCTTTCAAGACAAAAGCAATCAATGACCTTGTACAGCAATACAGTACACAGGAGGGCGGACTCGTTCAACTTCTGTCTGCTAGTCGGAAACGCAGTGAGCCAACGGCCTATCTCGACGACTGTCTGGCACCTGGTGAGCTTCCTGTGTCTCTCGAGATTGCAATTCAAGCCGTTGATCAGAAGGGAGACATTGCCTCCATAAACTACTTTGTACAAATTGGGGTGCCCTATGAAGAAGTGGCACCGGTAGTATTGGCACGGCAACAGCAGCTAGCGGCCCAGAACTCAACAGGTACAACCGATGCGCGGGCACCACCAACAGAAGGAGGAGACAAAGGGGAACAAGGCGGAGCTTACTCAGAACAGAGTGATGGTTGGAACACAGTAACGCCTCCTCCAATCTACACGTCACCTGAAGACGCCGAGGCTGCTGCTACCGCCTATGCAGCAGGTCCAGGCCCGTCGTCCCAGGGTTTTGCTTTCCGTGGTTCACTTGAGCCATTTTCCATCCTCGTGTTAGCCGTCATGGTTTCGTTTCGAGTTTCAGTGTGATCCTGGTTCCAAAAGAGTTGCAGGAACAAGTTCAGTTTTGGCTGACAAGGGCAGGCCCGGACAGTTGTAGCGCAGGTGGTTTCGCTTCATGGCCTCGACGTAAAAAGCAACTGGCTAGATTTCCCCCAAAAGCAATGCCCTTAGACTCGACTCGCACACAAAACGCTGTGCAGTCTGTTTGGAGAGACTTTGATTGCTGAAAACCCAACAAAAGTCTGCTCTACTTTTCAGCAAGGTGGTTCCAAATGCTAACGTACTTGCTACGTGTACAATTCTACAATGCGATGAATAAACTAAGGCTCTCATAATTCATATCTAGCTAGCTACCTGCCAAGCTTTCCATGGTACAGTCGTAGCTCCAACTGCGCTCTGAATGTCTGAATGTACTGTACTTTGATTGCATCATGAGAGTATTGGTACCAACAGCTGCTCTGTAGTTGGTAAGTTATACATTCTTCAATGGCTGAGGACAAATGGATGCTCACGGCACTATGACATGCATGCCATCTTGCAGCTTAATATGCACATTTGACATTCTAGCTAGAGTGCGCTCGTAAGAATGGATGCCCAACAGAAGATCGTGCCTACCGGTAACTTCAAGGGATGGGCATTGCAAATCATGAGAGCGTGGAATCAAATCCTACCGTACCGACCCTTTGGTATGAAGCAAGACTTTAATTTTCGAATCATCAACAGTCACCAACTGTCGCCAGCTCCTTGTAGAGGGTGATGAAAGGACATGATAAGTCTATGAGAACATGTTCATACGCCCTCTGGATCAATCACTACGGCAGCATGAAGTCTGGGTGTAATCCAATGAATTTTATGATGTTATTGGGCGATTATTCGAATTTTGACAAAAAGTGAGTTGGTCCCCTTTTCCGAATGCGGCTCGGCTGGTGTGTCGTGCTTCCGGTCACTCATTTTTTCGAGACACACTAAGTCACACTTCCACGAAATTAAGAAATCACGACCACAACCAAGAAACCAAGATTACAAAGACAATAGCCGGTCAATCGCCGAAGCCCTCTTTGACCACTGTAAAGAGATGCTTTCTCTCACAAGCAATCCCCCATCAAACCAGTAAGTCGGTGACATGACCTGTTAGTTCCCCATAAAATCCTTGAAGCCCATCAAGATCTTCCCGTCGTGATCTTTCCCGTCGCGAACGATCTTCTCCCGTGAAGCCCACAGACTCACTATAAAGACACCCAAACACACCCCACAAACACAAGTCACCCTCCCATCTGTTGCATGTCATGCAACACTCACTCATCCACCTCCTCCTCTTCACCAGCATCCTAAAATGGCAACAGTTCCAAAGGAGTTAGAAATAAGACCAATAAAATAGGCAATAGTAGCACCATCTTACCTTTGACTCCTCATCCTGATCTGCCGAATGCCGCTTCTTGGAGCCTTCAATAAGCAGTTTCCGGCCTGCTTCAGCATCAGGATGAGTCACACCCTTGTATTCATACATATCCGACTGCAAATTCTTCACTCGTGCCCCACCGCGCCTGTCAACCTTGGCACCATCCTTTTTCAAACCAGCCGCTGCAGCGAGGCCTCTTCCACCAGTTCGGAGCTTGCTGTTACCAATGTCACGGACGACACAACCTTCCTCCTCCATGATGCGGACCAAATGAATGGGAAACTTGTTTACATCCTGGCAAATCCGACGACTGGTTGGGTTGCCAATATTGTAGATCTTCGTCAAGGCCTTGCAACCACGCTGAGGAGTACTGTAGGAAAATTTGTACTTGTGGTCTTCAGGCAAACGATTCGTCAACAGAACATGGTGATCAATGGCATCGTCAAAGTCCTTATTGAGAGAACAGTCCCACGGCATCAGTTCTGGGGAGTTTCCAACTGGTGCCTGGGAGTAATATTGCTTGAGTTTGGGAGTGTGTGTGTTGAGGCCAAGCTCAGGCAAGATCCAATGCTTGAGGTAGCCCTGCTCCTCCATCCACTTCTTGCAATCCTTGGACTTCATAAGAGACAACGCATCATGGTAAACCCACCAGTCGGCACAGTCTTCACCATGGATCTCCTGCATGTGGGCCTTGGATTGCTCAAAGATATGCTCCACCATCGTAGTGATACAAACATACTTTGACATCGCTGAGGAACCTTCAAGCTTTTCTTCCCACTTTGGACCAAATCGAGCCTCGTAAGGATTGGATTCCTTGCGGTAATCCTTCTTGGTTGGTGGCGCATCATCCGCTGCCTGGCAAATCTTCTTCCACTCTTCCAGGTTTTTCTTACTAGCCACCTTCTGTTGGACCAGCTCCTTGATGCGCCTCTTTGTGAGCTTGGCCAGCTTACCAAAGGTGTTGATGGGTGGGGACACGTTCTTCAGCTTCTTGATGGTTCCGTCGCCCAAGTTAGCCACCTTTCCTGCAGTCAAAGGATCCTCCTTGTATGGCGTGCCTTTTACCCGTCCCTTCTTGACCCAGCCACTCTTTTCCGACAAGGTCTTGATACGGGCAATCTCCAGTTTCTTCTTGTTCCCGTAGTCCTTGATCGTCAACAATGTCTTGCCGCTGTAGTCAAACAGTGGCACAACACGCCCCTCAGTGGCATTGGCGGAACATCCAAGACTAACACGGGTCTCGTCATCATACTTGACGTTCAAAATCACCTTGTCTTCCTCAGAATATTCACCGTTGGGATCCAACTTTCCGTTTGGCAACCGCTTGTACTTGAGTTGATGTTTGCGGCCAGCCTGCGATGCCCCTTGGCCAATGATACACTTGCGGTGAGTCTCATCCCAGAAGACGACCTTGGTCACGTCAATCTTGAACTCAATCAGCAGTGTCCCATCGAACCACTTAGGCAGTTGCCCATCAATACCTTGCGCTCGCATGTGAGCCCATGCCTTGTCAGTCAGCTTAGCACTCAATCCAAGTCGAAGAATGAGTTGGATCGACCAATTGTAGCGAGCTTGGGCCCAAGCAGACTCTTTGTCAGTACTCCCTTGCTTGAGACGCTTGATGGGTTTGACCAAAGGCTTGAGTCGCTTGGAGAGATGCCAAACTGAGGAAAAGGAGACCAAGGGCTGCTCCGTCTCCTTTAGATGATGGTTGACTTGCCTCGTAGCTTGCATCAAACTGAATCCATCCTCCAAAACATCAGCGACAATCTGGGCTTCCACCGAGTCGTTTGGAATGTTGACAGGACGGGTCTCTCCAAGGGCTTGACGACGACCACGATACTTCGTCCCTGCAGTCTGACACTTGGTAATGTCTTCAAAGACATAACGAATGGAAGCCCCCTTTGGAATGCTAAGCATCTTCCTGATTTGGGCATGCACTCCATTCCGACCATCCCATTCCGACTCGTCAGGACAACAGAAGACATGAACAAAAATGAAGGCAATGGCAATGCGGCGTGCAACCTCCCAGTCGATAAGATCTTCTTGCGCCAGCTCATCCAAAGCTTCATCAATCAAGTCGTCGCCTTCATCTTGCGACTCATCATCGGGGATAGAGCAATCATCCCAAGATCCAAGCGACTCAAGCTCATCTTCCGAACCAATGTCGGCGGAAGCTTCATCAGCGGCAGATCCACCATCGACTTGCACTTCTTCGGTTTCAGTCGCTCCAATCCGCTCCCAAAGTTCTTGTTGTGGACGCTGTTGCTGGAGTTGACGAAGGTGCTCTTCAATGACGGGAGAAGATTGCTCAATCATAGGCGAGATCCCCTTGCGCTTGGTTGCTTCTCTGCGAGGTGTAATGTCTGCAGGAGTCTGGGAGGCAGAGCGTGGTTGGCGAATGGTTGAAGGAGGCACTGGAGGGCCGCGGTTGAGGAGGCTACCAGGTGGAGGAGTTCTGGAGCGGCTCCTGATGGATGGAAGTGATGCCGCAGTCGTTGGTGGCAGAGGAGATACTAGTGGTGGAACGGGAGAGGTCGACCTGCTTCGGGGCTTGCCTCCTCTCTTGGAGTGAGTGTAAGATCGCCTCTTCTTTGGTGGCATGATGGATAGGTCGGGTCAATGACCAAGGAGCAAAGGAGCGAAGGATCCAATGTCTCAGCGTGGAAGGAAGAATGACGAGTCGAAGAACGATGGAGCAGTCGGGCGGGAACAAAGGAGCACTCAAAGAAGGACGGAACGACGGAATGAGGGAGCAGTGAACGGCAGATGGCCATTGCCGATGAATAAAAAGAAAGAGTATCCCCACCCAAGGAAGCAGAGCTTCCCCTGTAAAGCTTGCTGTTTCGAATTTATGAGGCTGATCGACTGAAAATGAAGAATGCTCTGCGCACGAAACAACTCTGCCGATTGGATCTTTAGGCGTTGAGTTCAATCGTACGATTGTAATACGGAACGACTCTAGTAGAGTTACAGTAGTCTCTACCAATACCCATGGTCGCTGAAAGCAATGCACATTGATGCGAGTATCGAAAGGATGACATTCAACATGCATCGAAATATTCAATCCGTTCAGTTGAGGTGAGCGAAGACTCAATTTGTGAGGTGAAATTTGATCTGTGACCGGATTTGACCTGCCCGGCGCACCGGCTCGCTCTTCCACTTAGAAAAAATGGAAAATTCGTGACACCGAATCCGGTGAAAAGAGAGGCTCCCTCCGATGACACACATGGCAACGAAGGTGAGGAGCCATGCAATCAACAACAAGAAGACTTTTGACCATGGGAGCGGCAGCTTTAGACGTAGCACACTATGGCACAACTAACGCTGAAGCTGCCATGGTCAAACTCTTTCTCGTTGTTATTTCTATGGCTCCTCACCTCGAAAGTCTTGCAAGAATCCAAGCGGTCGGTACCGTATTGCACCGGCACCGTACAGCACCCCGATTGAAGGCTTGGGAAGATGAATGATCTCAATAGCCGATGCTGGCTTATTTGGAGTTCCAAATAAAATATCAAAGCTGCAAAATGACCGAGTGGCAATGCAACGCCCAACCACCCAATGCGAAATCATCCGATGATCCGATGATGCATCCATCATCCGTCATCCATGCATCACTCGCTAGCTAGAGTATCGTCGACGGCAAAGAGGGCAAAGAGACAACTAACTCTCCAATCGAAATGCTCTTTTCATCGGTGAACTATTTCTATGCAGTCATCAAGTTTGTTTGCTGCTGCCAATAGGAGTAGGACTCTGACTCGTCCATCTTTCTCAAGAATACGACCTCGGCAGCTCTGGATTTCATCGTCATCTTCCTTTTTGAACAATCCAAATGAGGAATCTCGTCGTTTCCCGACAAACTTGCTGCTGCTACCACGTGGAAGCTTAGAATCTGATAATGAAAACAGGAGACGATGGTTCTCTTCCGACAGTTCCACTGGCCATGGCAGAATACCCGTTCTTGACAGCAGCAATCATGTTGCCGTCTCCATTCTCCAAGAGGATGCCCACGAGATTATACAGCAAATACCATTGGCAGACTGCCGCAATTTTACTCTGATTGGACACATTGACCACGGCAAGTCGAGCCTGAGTTCTAGAATCTTGGAATTGACGGGCAATTTGGGCCCAGAAGCTCAAGGGGTAGCCTTGGAGGCAGTCAAACGAGATCAAGGATTGGAGCAGCTCGACAATGCCAGCACAAGTACTGCATCTCCTGGTATACAAGACGGCAAGCAATCCTCCACCATGAAGCAAAAAGAACAATATGAACTCTTGGACACGTTATCAGTGGAACAGCAACGAGGAATCACCGTCAAAGCCTCTGCAGCAACCATGCTATACCGACACCCTTCGGCTGTTGGCCCAAGGGGCGTCTTATTGCTGAACATGATCGACACACCGGGCCACGTAGATTTCGGATCTGAAGTGGCCCGCTCATTATCCTTTGTGCAAGGGGCGGTACTATTATTGGACGCTTCTCAAGGCATTCAAGCACAAACATGGACGGTTCACGACAAGGCCAAGTCCATGGAACACAATAAACCGGAACTGATATTGGCACTTACCAAAGTCGACATGGATGCTGCTAGACCCGTTCATGTGGCATTGGCGGTGTCGGAATGGCTCGATTGGGAAGATCCCGACAACATTATTCCTACAAGTGCTCGCATGAGAATTGGGATTGCCGAAGTGCTCGATCGCATTTGCCGAACTGTGCCCCCACCACCCGTACTGTCAGATGACTCCAGCGAGGAAGACTACAAAGGACCAGTCGTCAAGGATGACGGAAACATGATACTGCGAGCACAAGTAGTGGACTCTTGGTATGACGACAGAGGTGTGAATTGCTTGGTGCAGATCGTGTCCGGAAACATGTCAGAGGGCGATCGAATTGTCATTGCGAAGAATGATGATGTGGACACAGAATCATCTTCATCATCACGCCAACAAGGCAACAATCAACAATCATTTTCTGTACAAGAGATTGGAATGGTCCTACCACACGCCAAGCGAACTGGAGTATTGAGACGGGGGCAAATGGGATATGTACGGTTTGGCCTTCGCGACCCTCGGCAAGCACAACCCGGCACCATCTTGATTCTACAAAAGCACATTGGAATGGAAATGGCGTTGCCTGCTCTAACGAGTGCACACAATGTGACAAAATCGGTACTGTATGCATCAGTGCATCCCAGCGAATCAGACGGCTTTGATGAGCTATGCAGCGCTGTAGATCGTCTGGCATTAAACGATGTTGGACTTGAAGTCTCGAGAACGTCAGCTCTGGCAGGTGGAAGTGAAAAGGGCGGTCCATTTCTTGGGCCGGGTCTGAGGGTGGGATTCCAGGGGATTCTCCACATGGAAGTGTTTCGACAAAGGCTGCAGGATGAATGGGACATCGATGCGATTGTAACGCCACCAAAAGTGCCTTACAGAATAACCTACAAGGAAGGCACAAGAAAAGACAGCAATCAGCAAGAACATACTGTAATTGTAGAGGATCTGGCGGACTGGCCAACACAAGGAGTTCGCTTCAAGATCGAAGAACCAATGGTGACTGTCAGGATCATGGCGCCTGTGGACTGCGCGGGGTCGGTAATGGAATTGATTAGTCGAAGAAGAGGAGTGGAACTACAGACGAAACCTGTTGATGAGGAGATCTGGATCTTCACAGCCCAAATGCCGTGGGCAGAGGTTGTGGTTGACTTTCATGATCAGCTGAAGAATGTTACTGCTGGATTCGGAAGCTTGGACACCACCGAGGGAGAACCCCCATTTCGCGAAGCAGATGTGCACAAGGTAGAAATTATGTTGAACGGGGACGAGGTCGAACCAATGGCGTTCGTTTGCCACAAAAATGACGCCCAAGGACAAGCGAGAGTTGTGTGCAAAAAGCTTCAACAAGTCCTACCCAGACAGCAGTTCGTAACTGTCATTCAGGCAAAGGCTTCTGGAAAGTATGTCAGCCTCCAGAGGTGTACCGGTACCTACCTTGATTATCTCCCCTGCTCACTCGTGTTTGTTGCACCCTTGTGTATAGAATCATTGCTAGCGAAAGAATCAAGGCATACAGAAAGGATGTGCTCATAAAATCAGGCAAGGTTGTGGGCGGCGGAGATCAGACGCGGAAGAAAAAACTGCTGGAGAAACAGAAGAAGGGAAAGAAGCGTCAGCAGGCCGAAGGGAAGGTGGCTCTGTCGCAGGCAGCTTTCAATAGTGTCATCTCCCGGTCGTCGTAACTGCATGCTCGCAACTCAACAAACAGCCAAAGCTAAGGTGTCTTTGTCGGCACTGTACAAAACATTTGAAGTCGATGCCTGCGTCAGGACCCCCAGCAAGGTAATAGTACCGGTAGGATCAAGACATCCCGGGAAAAGCAGCTTACTACCAGTAACGTATGCTAGCTAAGAAACGATTTGATATCTTCCCGAACTTTTCAAAAGCAAAACACCCTTGTCTCGTAGGTCGTCAATCATTGGCTTGAAGTCGCCCAGACCAAAGTTGATCTGATCTGCAATCATCCGGAGGTCATCCATCGCACACTCTGCTCCGACCCCTATGATTTCCTTCATCTTCGCCTCGAAAAGCTTTCTGGCTTTCCGGTTGCTTATACCGGCTGCCCCCCCACGAAGTGGGTCTAGTTTGTTGTTCTCATCCGAATGCACTTGGTCCTAGTATACAGCACGAAGCAAGGTTAAGGAAACGTAAGCGAAGTGACAAGATATCCAGTGCCTGGACCATTGAGAGAATCATACGTACCACTGATTTCCGCATCAGCTCGACTACATCCAATGCGTCACCTTCCAGCACGTACTCCCGTAGGCAGGCTTTCGCACGGGCCTGAGAGAGTCGAATCATAGCTTCGAGTTGTCGTGTGGTAATTGGGACCGTGTCGTTTCGCCTGAGTCCACCTTCGGGGTATCTTAGCTGCATGAAATAGTCCTTGAGCACTGCTGCCGCCTCTGCCGTCATTTTCGGCTTGCAGTACTCCCGAGCATAGGCAATGTAGTCTCGAACCAACTCAGCTGGCAATGGTGTCTTTTGAAAGTCGGCAACCCATGCGAGCCGTTCCCAGATTGGAATCCGATCTATTCCACCCCTGGTAAGATGCGTTGGGTCCTTGTTTTGTTGTGTGTATGTCATTGGAGGAGCTGTTCCACTGGCAAAGGCCCCTTCTCCGTGGCTATTCTTTGCCGCTCGATGAAGATTCATGATACTTTTGGACACTCGTCGATCCAAATCTTGATCTGCCCGGTCTCTCAAGATGTAAACGAGGTCGAATCGAGAAAGAATTGGTTTCGACATGTTGAGATTCTCTGCAACAGTTTTGTTCATGTTGTAGCTTCCATTCTTGGGGTTGGCAGCTGCAATGACACTGCATCGTGCTGGCAAAGATGCCAGTACCCCCGCCTTGGCAATGGATACTTCCTGCTGCTCCATGGCCTCCAGCAAACCGTCTTGGCTCTTTTTGGGCATTTTGTCGAACTCGTCAATACAAACCACTCCCTTGTCACCCAGCACGAGCGCCCCTGCTTCTATACCTGACTCACCGTTCTCTTCGCGGGTTAAAGAGACTGTCAATCCCGTTGTGGATGCCGTGGTGCCTCCCACATACACGCTGCGAGCGGCAACTTGCGTCGCTGCCAGTAGCATCTGAGACTTACCCATTCCAGGATCCCCAACAATCAGAATGTGTGAGTTGCTTCTTAGTTCTTCGCTTGCAGCTGCTTTGGTGTACGAATTAGCAGGTGGGGTGCCTCCCAGTAGGCACAGCAGGATTCCTGCCTTGACTTCATGATGACCATAAATGGCAGGGCACAAAGACCGTACCAACAGATCAAACGGAAATGCCATGCGTTCCCCCATTCCAAAGAACTTGTGATCTGCATGACACAGTTTGACAATGGAGGAGAGTTGTTGCTGTGAGAATTGTATATTGTTGTTGTTGGATGATGCACTGTTGTTGGAGTCTCGATTGTTGTTCTTGTTGGGTTTGTTTTGCGAGGTTGTTCCCGAGAGAGTCGTAATGGCGTGTCCTTTCAGCACTAGTGTATAGGTACAGTTTTCCTTGGCTCGTTTTCCCGATCGTCCCGCGGCAATGGCAGTGTTGACCGTATCGATGATACAACTGAGCAGAATAATATCTCCCGGTCGACAGGAATCGACCAGATCATGGGTCAATTCGACAGACATTTGTCGTGGTGTCCGTCCCGAATGCATTATGCTTTCGTCTTGTGCCTCTTGCAACTTGAGTTCTTGCACATCTGTGTAGTGGGCCATGGTCTTGGTCATGGAAAATGCTCTGGATTTGCAATTGAGGGTGGTGCATTTGGTGGGTACCGAGTATTTGCCCCCGTCCAAGGCATGCATGATTTTAGCCCGGCATTTTTTGCATTCAAAGTCGACCATTGCAACTCGCAGACGTTTGGGCCGTGCTTTGACAACATGTCCCTTGACCGATACGAATCTTCCCACGACGCCAGTCTTGACTGACATCATGTTGAGCTTTGGATGTGCATTGATGAGTCTGATTTGAATTTTGGAAGCATCCAAAAAGCGTTCCAATTTTCCTGCAAGGACCGAATTGGAAACGTTGGAAGAAGAAGCGAGGTTGGACTGATGATAATTGTGCTGGTGTCTCCAGAGCGTGACCATGGCGAGACTCATGGCAGTGCCAATAATGGCGAGTGCTTCTGTTGGTTTGTGGTAGAGAAACGCCGCAAAGCTGTGTGCTTTCTGCCACTCATTGGTCATGGGTTGTCCTTTCAAGAGGAAATGATGGAATTCGTTGGTAATGAATTCGTCGTAGCGCAATGAAATGACAGTTCGTCCTTGCAATAGAGATACTACTTTCTGATGATTGTTGTTGTTGTGTTGTTGCTGTGCGGATGGATTCTGGGGTGTATTGTTGTTGACAAAATCAAACGACTGTGCTGCCACGGTGGACGCCTTGACCAATGCCTTGGACAGAAAACTGAAAGGACCCCAAAGACAACTTTGTTGCATAGATGACATGTCATTGTTGTCATAGTACATGAGAAAGGGAATCGAAGGATGATCTTGTCCCAATCCTAGAGAGAGATGCGCCGAAAAGAAATCAGAGAGTTGGACCAGTTTGTCCATTTCATGCCTTGGAATACTGCTTATGCCGGCCTTTCCTGAAGCATCCTTTTCTTTGGTGGTCATCACATCTACCACTTCTCGGCGTTGTGATCTCCATAGTCGCTCTGCATCTTCTCGTTGGATTTGAGGCAGCATCAGCACATTATTATTGGATGGCATAATGGTCAACTCGGGTCAACAATTGTGGAAGTGGAAGAATGTGTCGATGTCATTGGTGCGGCTGAACAAGAAGCCAGCCGGAGCTGTGAAATAGTTTTGAAGCCTCGTATGACATGAGCTCCCCACACCACACCGGCAAATTTAAAGGAGAGGGGAGGAGGGAGAGAGAGGGGAGAAGATTTCCCTACACAGTATAGACGACCATGGTGGAGATTGTTGTGGTAGATCCATGTACTATTAACCTTCATGCTACAGTGTTTCAATCTTGTTCCTACATGTATTGACTATATTGATGTTTCCTACTGCTGCTCCATGACCTCCAGCAAACTGTCTTGGATCTTTTTGGGCATTTTGTCGAACTCGTCAATACAGACCACTCCCTTGTCGCCCAACACGAGCGCCCCGCTTGGATTCCACTTTCTCAATTTTCTTCCTTGATGGAGGTCACAGTCAGTCCCATTGTGGATGCTGTGGTGCCTCCCGCATACAGTACACTCTGCGTGCGGCAATTTGTGTCCCTGCCAATAGCATCTGAGACTTGCCCATTCCAGCGTCACGGACAATCAGAAAGTGCCAATTGAATCTTAGTTCTGTGCTGGCAGCTCTTGCAAAAAGCGTCAAAACTTGGAGCAGGCCACAGGAAGCTCGTTTGGATGGAGGCGACGACACCTTGGTGTGGGTACGGTCAGAGCAAGGTAAGGGAGGTGCAGTACGATAGTAATAGACAATAAATAGTAGGCTACATTACAAGAATCCTTGGTGACATACATGTAGAAGAACAGCTTTGTGGTAAAATGAGTTTTAGGTCGACCTCTAGCTACTAGTTAAAAGCCAAGGTTGGGCCCGGAAAATAAGGTGCAGCATGAAAGCATCCACATTGGTTTCTTTCGGGTTGGAGTTACTAGCTAGAGCACAAGTTTCCCGGTAGACAACGCAACACAAATATATCTATGAGGCCTTGTTGCGAGAAGGGAGACGACAGGGTGAGGTTGGGTGGAGAAACTGGAGAACAAGATGTATCGGACAGCTCCAGGTATTAGTAGTATGGTAGTCTAGACGACTAGTAAAACATACCAAATCTTGAAGACCTGCACACAGATACCGGTATGGGTTGGAGATTGCTAAATGAAGATGGAAAGAGGGTTGAAAACGAACATGGATACCGGAACCTTGTGGAAGTACATGTATTTGACCCTCCCGTGGTATTTTTGATTCCTGCTTGCAGTCCTGTGAGTTAATTCAGACAGGTTTAGAAGAGTAGTTGCGGTAAATATAGGGTTATAGTTATATTTTACTCTGCATTTTTGTATAAAAAGTATTATTTACCGCAACTTCCTGAACTCCGAAGTTTGATGTCCGTTTGAGTCGCTGGATAACGTTCCATTTTGTTCATGGTTTTGAACGCACGACGGCCATCCACCGGCATCCGAAGCCAGGAACCAAGGAACGCTTTCTTAGCCGGACCGTGACTGCCACAGACCACTCCCACTTCCCACACCGCCACAACAGTCACACGTCTTCACCCAGTTGCATTGCTGGCCACAACAAGCAAGCATCAATCGGGCAGAACAACAGTTGTGTTGACGAGTATCAACAGGTGTGTGACAACAAGAACTCCTGAAACGATCCTTCGAACTTGTACCCCGCAACCATCCCAAGAGGCTCATTAATCTACTCTAGCAAACCACAAGCGACGAATCGAATCGACAACAACATGCCACCGCTCGCCAAGACTTTTGAATTGCAGTCCGGTCTCGACAATAATCCTCATGTGGGTTCAACATGGAGTAGCTATTCCAAGCCACCGCCGCTGATAGCCTCAACGTCCACTGGCAGCAATAGTACTAGCACAACTGTCAGTAGCTCTACTACGAGTGCAAGCAACCAGTCTCTGGGCAGCAGCAGTAGCCACTCTGCGAGTAGAGGTCGAAAATCCGCCTCACTTTCGGCATATCACGCCGTCAAGTCCTCGCTGCGAGCCATTGTCATGTTCCTCGAGGCGAGTGGTGTCGCCACTGCCAGTGTGGAGGAATTGGCCGACATGATTTCCCAAAAACAATTCCTGCAAGTCATGGACCGAGCCGAAGAATACGTCGAATTGCTCTTGTCGCTAAGCAATGCTGACAATCAACACGATGTTATTTATTTGGATGCCTTGACCATGCTCTTTGCAGCGGCATGGAACAAACTGGTCGAGTACACTGGCACCAATTACCAAAAGGCACGAAAGGAATTTGCCAGACATGAAAATGAACAATGGCAAGACTTTATCGGACATCAACGACTCAGCGAACAAGCACAAGACGCCAGAAACCAGAGACGAATGCTGCAATGGGATCCACAACAGCGACAAAAACTGATTGATAGTCTCAATTACTGGACCAGAGCCAAAATTGATGCGGAAAAGGGTAAAATTCTCAATCAGGAATGGACAAGAATCATGCAACGACAAAGGCAATCCACAACTCCAAAACAACAACAAAAGCCATCCTCATAGATTGATAGATCGATAGACCAAGTCTCCTTCTTGCTCATCGTCATTGTCATCATCATCATCACGACAACGCCCCGTCGAGAGTCACAGAAAGAAAGAATGAACGAACGCAAAGAATCGAATCATAAACAACATCATAAACCTAATGAACATACATGGTTAAAACTGTTCAATCCACGCGCTATTACATGGGTGAATATTCAGCCTGCAATGAAGCATCATAACTCAGCAACGCTATCAGCTTGGTATCTAGCTCACAACCAAGGTGCACAAGAAATCGAATCAATTTTGGCAGCAATCAATACCTTCCGAACTGGTTGAATGGGCACATGCAAGCAAACAAACAAACAAACCACACAATTCAAAGAAGCTAGCACCAATCAACTCTCTCAGCTATGTAGCTAGCCAGCAAGGCCCTTTATGGACAATATCGTCAAAGGTTCACAAGGATCGTAACCTATAGAAAATGGTTAATTTGTTTTAAAGAACTGTTCAATTCATCCATGTGGCAAAAGTGTATAGAAAGACGCTGCTCGCAGCAAGTCACTCATGTGTTTGGAGCTACGGTAATACGTAGCTAATAACTTCCTTGCGTCTGATAGTCAGGTCCGGCATTCTCCTGACCCAGCATTTTGGATGTGGCCTGGTTAGACAACTCGTCGGCACACAACATACGGATGCGTTCGGATGTCGCAGGCATGCGGAATTCAAAGTACTTGTCGTAGCCCAGATTCTCCTTGCGGGCTGCGCGAACAGCATCCTTAATGGCATAGTACACGGTAGCACCCAAGTAAAAGGGAGGTTCGCCAATGGCCTTGCTAGAATGCACGGCAAACGGATTATCGGCATTCTCCAACAAACTCACATTGAATATTTCAGGGACATCGTTAAAGGCGGGAATCTTGTACGTTCCTGGACCTGTCGTAAACAGCTTGCCACGAGGACGAATCCAAGTATGGTCGTCGTCGGCATAGACCACTGCCAAGAACAAAACCAAAGGAAACGATCGAATCATGAGTGACAGCAGAAACCCATTGGAAAGAACAACATCAGCAAGTGGAAGAAATACGTACCTTCTTCAATGGTTGCCCAGCCCATTCCTTGCACAAACGCTCCCTCTACTTGCCCAATGTCAATGGCAGGGTTGATACTGGATCCAACATCAATGATAATGTCAGATCGCAATGTCTTGTGATTGCCGGTCAAAGTGTCAATCTCCACTTCGCAAAAGCACACGCCCTGGGTAAAGTAGTTGAAGGGGTGGCCCTTCCAAGAGTTGGCGGGCAAGTCGTCGGGATAGTCCTCAGGCTTGTCCTTGTCCCAATCAAAGCCACAGCGAGAATCTATCAAACGGAAAAAGCCATGAGCGGAGAGATCAATGCGCTCCATAAAGGCGGCATTGGCAATCTCCTTCAAACTGGCATCAGGACCCAACTTGGCACGGACGGGGTCCAATCGGGCAATGATCTGACGGCAGGCATCCAGTGTGGACATTCCGTACATGTCGGTCGAATGACTGGCAGCCGTGGGAATCGTATTGGCGACCTTGTCCGTGCTGGTGTCATTGACGTACACATGGTCGACAGGGATGCCAAAGGCTTGGGCGGCAACTTGGCATACCTTGGTGTGCAAGCCTTGTCCCATTTCGGTACCACCGTGGCTCACCAACACTGTGCCGTCGGTGTACAAGTGAACCAGAGAGCCACCTTGGTTCATGTACTTCGCTGTAAAGGCAATACCAAACTTCGTAGGGATAAGGGCAACGCCTCGTTTGATCCACTTGTTCTTGGCATTGAATTCGGCTGCGGCTTCTCTCATCTTGGAAACACCAAGCTCCGTTTCCAAACGATCCCACATGCGGGGCACCTGCCATGTGCCTCCATGAACGTCGTCCAGAATCATCCCGAAATGGGTCGCTTGACCAGTTTGGTACATGTTTCCTCGCCTCAAGTCGTCAGCAGAGACCTTGCAAGCCACACCCAAATGGTCGATGACATGCTCACCTACAGAACGATCCAGAGGGGGCATCATTGAGCATGAGAAGCTGCAAGGGGTTTGTTCAAAAGCTAGGACAAAGTCACTTACAAGCTGCGATTCCTTGAGGACCGCCAAAGCCTCTGAATGCAGTATGAGGCGCCTGGACCGTCTTGCAGACAAGACCCCGGGCTCGCATATTGGGGAAGTAATAACAGCCATCAATGTGGAAGAGAGCTCTGTCCATGACTGGTCCCGACAAATCAAAAGCCATTCCTCCGTTGTTGTGTAGCTGGATATCAAGGGCCTCGAGCTTCACGCCATCTTCGGTGATCTTGGCGCTTGCGCGGTATTCAGTAGTGAAAGCATGCCTATCAGTGGAAGCATAGCAAAAGCAAGAGAATAAGACGATTGTTTTCGGGAACAAACAGTTACACAACTGTGTTGCAGGCCCATCACCGTACCTTGTTCCAGTAATGCTCATGTCGACATCGCGGGATAGAGTCAACCGAACGGGTCTGCTCGATATCTTTGCTGCCACGGCAGCCGCACAAGACGCAAAGACGCTTCGCGTTTCCTTTCCTGCGGCGAAAGAAAGATGAGTTTTTCGATATCAAACGAAAGACATAGCGATCAAGGAGAAACTTCATCAAGACGTACCTCCAAAGCCGCCTCCCATTCTCTTCATTCGAACCACAACCTGCAGGCATTTTACGAAACGCGTGTCAGTGGTGGAAGGACATCATGTCAAAAGAACGTCATGTTCACGTACCTTCATTGCGGGCGTTCCAGTAGTCGAAGCGCAAAAGTTCTGCGTCTTCGTCGGCGCTTGTGTTGATACATAAATCGTCAAGTTGGTGTTGGACTCAGATGGGACTGCAAGTGTTGAGTTCGTCTCCAGGTAGAAATGTTCTTGAGCCCCGCTACGGAAAGTACCACTGACAGTGACAACATCGCCGACCTTGGGTTCTGCGGGAGCCTCGGGGGCAGACGACAAAGCTTCGATTACTGCGGGATCTCCTCGAACAAGGTCGCGCCGAGAGATTTCGAAGCACTGACCGGCTTCGACAGCATCTGCAATAGTTACAGCAACTTTTCCTGCGTCTCCTCCATAGACAACTTTGACTGTTCGTGCACCAAGCTCTGCAGCCTCAAGACTCTCAGCAACGCATATTCCAAGGCATTGTCCAACAGTCCTCACCTTCTCCCCGATAGGCAAAAAGAGAAGTTCATCCTTGAGAATCGGGCCCATCTCATTCTTTCCTCCAAGGCTGAGGAGATCTTCCAAACTGTAAACTCCAACCACGCCAGGAATGCCCAATGCCGGCGTGACATCAATAGACTCCAGAACTCTGCCACATTCATTCGACAGAACGAGTGCCGCCTGCAGGGTCTTGGGGGGGAGAGGAATGTCATCAGTGTATAATGCTTCTCCGGTGCAGTGCAACGGGCCCGACATGTGAGCAGAGTCCTTGCCCACGGCTGAAGCCCCATCCTTCTGTGCCATGGGCTTGACTTTGGGCAAGATCTGGTCTTCGCATCCTGTGGCGACCTTGGGAGCTGGGTAGAACTGCGTACCACTTGGGCTTGGTTTCTTGTCGCTGAGGAAGTTCTGGGTACCAGTGTGTTCCTTTTCGTCGACCTCGGGACAAGAGGGAAGATCTCCCTCAACTGTGACACCCGAAAAGGCCGATGGATCCGCTTGGTACTTTGCACAGTCGGCCTTCAGCTCTTCGACGACGCTCAAGTAGAACTTGTAAAGGAAGGACGAAGCAAGGGTCATTCGGAAACCCGCCTGTCCACCGGGGACGCCTTCGGGTAATTTAATCTCTGTAATGAGCGTCTCAGATGCCTTTGTGAAGGACTCTGCTGAAAACTCCGCACCGGTCAATGCTTCCATTGTCTTCACAGCCATGATAGTCGTGGGCGCCATGCCTCCAAAAGCAATGGCTGTTTCCTCGATCATGAACTTTCCACCTTTGGCTGCAAGGCGGATTCTCATGCCAGCGGTGACAATACTAATGTCGTCTTCCCTACGTCGAGCCTGCTTGAATGGCTTCACATACTCAAAAATTGGCTGGACAACGGGCACATCAATACACTCGACAACCTCGGTTGGCTTCAAATCGACCGTCCTGTACTTCAAGAAGAAGTCTGACACGGCCACGGAACGGCGAGAGACACCGGAAGTGTCCTTGTCAAAAGATGCCAGCACCAGCTTGGCTCCAAGAGAAGCCAACATAGGGTTCATATCCGAAATGGGAGAGGCCGTGACTAGGTTGCCTCCAAGACAGGCAACGTTGCGAATCTGAGTCGAGGCAAACCATCGCAGCATGTCATGCATAGGCAAGGCTGTCCTCTTCAAAGCTGTTGACTGAGAGCTGACATCGCCAGACTTTTCCTGGATAGTGCTCAACGAGCAGCAGGATCCAATCTGAATGTTGGCATCTGCAACTTCAAATCCATACAGGGATTGGATCTTATCCGAAGGATGAATGAGACGAGGGTAGACAGCGTGCTTGAAGCGAGTCTCTAAAAAGAGCAAACGAATGTGAGGCCTTTGTATCCGAGCCTGGCTGATTCCAACATGCCTTAACAACTTACCAATTCCAACTTCAGTGTTTCCCACAACAATTTTGCAAGCACTAGTGCCAGTACCTCCAAATTCATTGAGCAAAGCCAGCAGCTCCTCGAGTGTCGTGGGTTTGAACCAGGTTCCTCCTGCATGAAAGTCCGTGCGATCAACTACCATGAGTGGCTTTGTCATCATAGATCGCTCCGTAGATTGTTCGTCCTGCAACGCTTTGGGGAACATGAGGGTGGGTTGTTGCATCCAGGTTTCCCTGTCGCTGAGGAATGTGTCCTTGTACTGCTTCATCTTGTCGGCAGAGGAGGAGCAGACCATTTTGTCTGTTTCGGTCTTTTTATCCTCCACATTGCAGTCCTGTTCGCACTCTTCACGTTCGGGACAATCACGGCACGCAATGCCACACGGACCTCTCACCGTATCGGTATCATCGCATAGCGACCGAGCAGCATCCCAGATAGGACGGTACCCAGTACAGCGGCACAAGTTTCCATCCAAGTGTTCTTCAATATGTTCTTTATTGGCATTGTTGGCAAAAAGGGTATAAATGGAAACAATGATTCCCGGAGTGCAAAATCCTGAAGCGTGGCAACAGTGATGAGCCGGACGGGGTTAGCACTGCAAACTCTACGCTCAATAATCACCCAGCTAGATAAAATAGAGACTTACCACATTGGGATCCATGCATATCCACCATGGCCTTTTGAACTGGATGCAGATTGTCACCTTTCACTGATCCAACTCCTTCCACGGTCGTGACATGGCAGCCATCGGCAGCAAGAACAGGCATCAAACAAGCATTCACCGAAATGTGCCTAAAATCAACAAGAAGAGTATTGTCAGATACCATGCCAAAAAGTCAGGCAAAGATTGCAATAATTAAAAGGAAAGAACGCACTTGATCTTTTTGGTTTCCATGTCCAATTTGGACAGCATCACGGTACAGGCTCCACAGCCTCCTTCGGCACATCCAAGTTTCGAACCAGTCAAGAGCAATTCATCTCGAAGAAAGGAGAGCAAAGTCTGGTTAGGTCTTGCATTGGCGGCTACGCCATCAGGGACACGTTCCCCATTGACAAACAAGATGGGCGTGGTTCGATATCCCTTCTTCTGGTAGGCGCCCACACGTTCCACATCTTCATTCTCAAAGGCCAGCAGGGTCGTCTTTTGGTTCGGCGGCATGGTAGCAAAAGAAAGGTAGTCTAGTGGATTAATGGAGGATATTAGAGATGGAAAGATAGCAACAAGGAAGGCAACGAGTGTTAATGAATCAGATAGGTGTTGGCTGAAGGTCGAGGCAGATACTGAGATCTTTTTGTTTTTGTGAGAAAACTTCGTCTTCGCAGAGGCGAAGCATCAACATCAACCCATGTTTGTGGGATCTTCTGAGATCTTTCAGTGAGCGAAGAGGGGACTGCCACTCGTGACTGGGACCGGTACCACTACAGTGGTTGTCTCCTTTGCGTTTTGCACAGGTCACAGTGAAACATCCGACCGCACCAAAGCTCTTCCCTTCCTCTTCTCGCACTTACTTACTAAGGTATCCACTCGTAGTTGCTGGATCCTTTCATTGGTAGCGTACTTTCGTGAGAGATCCTGTACGGAGACAAGACTTCACTGTGACATCCAGAGCTCGCTCAGACTCTTTCGGCGCGAAAACGCTGTTGAATGATCAATCTGAACAAACCGAGGACCAATCTAGAATCCACTCCGTCCTACCGGTACCAGTAGCTGGATAAGTGTAGAAAGAGAGATGCTAGTAGTTACTTTTTAATACTAAGGAAACTTACTACTGCTGGGTGCTTCGAAAATGACGACAACGTCATGCTGCAAAGGTACTACTGGCACGTTCCGAAACTCCGCCGACGACGCTTACATGTCACTTGAGAAACGACTGCGCAATTCTTTATCGCTGACGAAGTGACTTCCACCGCAGCATCGCCATCCTCCTCCCTGCTTGTACCAAGTAAAGCCAGCGGGGCAAGGATTAATTTGCTGTAGCCGTCGTTGGGTTTCTTCCCTTCGTCGCTGCTCTTCCTGGCGCCTCCTTGCCTCGGCCTCTCGGCGTCGTCGCTCTGCTTCAATGGCTTGTTGTCGTTTTCGTTCCGCTTCTTCCGCTTCACGAATGGCGCGCTCTAGCTCTTGCTTCTCGAGCTCTCTCCGGAGACGTTCCAGCTCCTCTTCGTACCTCCTTCGCGCTTCTTCTTCCAGGCGCTCCTGCTCTTGGAGCCACGCTTCGTAGGCTTTACGCTCTTCTTCCTCTTGCATTTCTCGTTGACGCTCAGCTTCCTTGGCGGCTTGCAATTCAGCCCAGACATCGTCGGGAACCCCCTCGTCACGCCCGGAATCATCGGATACATCGATTGCCTCTTCTGTCTGCTCGTCAGACTCATCCAACTCGACATTGGCTTTCTGTTGTTTTTGGACGCTCTCCCGTGTATTGGCGGACGGTCGATTGTTTGTCGAGTCCGCAACGGCCTGGGAAGGTGGAGACGGGGCAGGTGGTGGTGCTCCCGAGGCTTCCTGCATCAGCTGGTCGAGCGATGTGGGAAAGCTCACGCGGCTCTTGCCTCCAATTTCTCGTCTGGAATGCAGCATTTCCAACAGTGCTGGTGCGGCATCGTCGGCCAAGATGTGCTTGTCGCTCTCGGGCAAGTCAAACACTCGTTCTGCTCGTTGCTGCAAACAGCCTTCCCACATTTGTTGGACATCTCGACCATTGGCCCACCCGTCCAAGTTCCGAAGCTCTTCAAATCCTGGTTGCAGCTTTCTAAGAGTCTCGTCATCAATAGTGAACCCATCATTGACTGCACACAGGTTCAAAAACTGAATACAATCTGTAGCAACCCAATCTGGAAAGTCAAAGTAGTGTTTGAAGCGGCTCTTGAGCCCAGCATTTGACCGGAGCATTTGGTCAATCTCCAATGGATATCCAGCGATAATGATAGTCACATCTGCATAGTCATCACTCGTCATGGCCGCCACCAGCGTATTGACAGCCTCCACACCAAAACCACCTCTGCAAAGGTCATAGGCCTCATCAATGAACAGGATGCCACCCTTGGCTTCCTTCAGTGCTTTTGTGACAAGCCCTGCTGTTTGCCCTACATAGCCGGCAATCAAGTCCATTGCAGGTTTCTCAACTATCTTGTTGGATGGCTTGAGTTTCAAACCAAACAACACATCAGCAATGACCCTTGCAACCGTCGTCTTTCCAGTGCCTGTAGCATTTGGCATCAGCAGTGTGTTGAAGCAGTCAGCACACACAGTGCAGCCAGAAGACAGTTTGATATCACTTGAATAGAAGCAGCACCTACCTGGAGATCCCTTGAAGACAAAATTACCAAGCTTGCCAACAACATTTCCTTCCCTTCTAGCAACAGCCCATGCCTTTTTCATCTGCTCCAGCTTTGATTTGATGCCTTCCATACGATACAATTTGCAAAGTTTCTCAAGGGGCTCGACATCATTGTCAGGTAACACAGTTGATCCTGGGATACGGCCTTGAATCATAGCATCGACTCCAACTGCAACATCGCTGACAACAATCACTTTCTCGAAATCATCCGTTTTGTCAAAGACCCTTGATGCACGTTGACTCTTTGCTTCCTTCCAAAGCTGCATCATGTCTCTACCATTGCCCCAGCCTTCAAGTGCACTCAGCACCATGCATCCTTCCTCCAGCTTCTCGAGCACATCATTGTCAGCACTGAAGCTCTCCTTTTCCAAGCACTTCTTGAAGAAAGTGATGCAGTCCGATGCTTCCCAGTTTGGAAAGTCAAAAAAGTTGGTAAATCGGCTCTTCAGGCCCACATTTGTGTTGAGCATATCATTGATTTCATCTGGATAGCCAGCTATGATTATCAAAACATCTGCAAACTCCTCGCTGGTCATGGCTTGCACAATAGTGTCCACTGCATCTTTCCCAAATGGACCCTCACCCAGCGAGTAGGCTTCATCCACAAACAAGACACCTCCCTTGGCTTCAGTAAGTGCTTCTTTTACCTTTGTAGTTGTCTGACCCACATAATCAGCTGTAAGATCCTGCGCTGATTTCTCCACCAACTTGTTGGAAGGTTTCAGCTCAAGGCTAAAGAGAACATCAGCTATAACTCGGGCTAGGGTGGTCTTTCCAGTACCTATGTTACAAAGCAGACCAGAAAAGTTAGCATTGTCGACACCTCTAAAAATGTCATGGTTGCAAACAGACTCACCTGGGCTACCACGAAAGACAAAATGGCCAAGCTCCGGCTTCTCACTTCCCTCTCTCTTTGCAACAATCAAACTCTTCTGCATCTCTTCAAGCTTAGCTCGGATCTTGTCCACCTTGAAGAGTGTGTCAAGCTTGTCCAGTGGATTCGCGTCCTTGTCTGCTCTGTTCGCTCCAGCGTTTTCAATGTCGTCTTCTGTCAGCATCAAATCAGGTGATGCGGTGCCACGTTTTGCCGCCTTGGTCGTCGCTCCCTTGACAATAAGCTCAACGGAACCTGCATTTCCAAATCCACTCTGGCCCTTCTGAAGCTGCAGAACGTCGAGTGCCTTCTCTCTAAAGCCAAAGGTAGCTTGAACTCCCTGTTTCTTGAGGTTGAGTTCTAGGATAGCCAGCAGCTCATCGTCGTTGTAGTCGTCAAAGTAGAAAGCGTGCTCTACTGGGAACCGCCGTTTGAGCCCTGGATTCTGCCCCTTGATCATCTTCATCACCGGTTCCTCGTATCCAAGGAGCAGGACAGCAATGTCATCAAACGCAGAGCCTTGAACCTTTTCAACCAGAGTATCCAGCACTTGTTTTCCAAAGTTCTGGTCATCAAGTGCGTAACATTCATCTATAATGAGTACCTTCCCTTTGGCCATTTCGAGTATGGAATTTGTCTTGGTCTGAGATTCTCCAATGTGGGAGCCTACGAAATCGCTTGCAGTCTTCGACACGACGTCTCCGTTGCTCAAAAACCCAAGCTCCTTCAAGAGCCTACCATAAAGCTTGGCAAATGTAGTTTTGCCAGTCCCTTTTCAAATCATGAATGACATTAGGTGGACAATGCAAAGCAATTCGTGGCACGGTTTGAACTGCATTGTTCGCAATTTCTCACCTGGATTCCCGAGTACTAATCGGTTCATCACCATTGCCAGCGGGGTTTTGCCTAGAAGCTCTCTTTGGTAGTTTGTCGAGCAGAGTTCAAGCAACTCTTGAACTGCTGCTTTCACACGGTGCCAGCCAATCTTTTCGTCGATTTCTGAGGTCACCGCCAAGAGTTTACCACTCGAAAGACGCGGGTCTTCCCCAATGACGTCCACTACTTCGAGTTGCATATTGTCTTGATCGAAGTTGTCGCCGAGACGTGACATGGCACTTTTTGTTGCATTTTCGAGATGGTTCCTCACGTCACGGGCATTGCCAAATCCTTTCTTCCCCGACTGCTTCATCAGGCGCTTCACCATCACAGTACAAACGTTATCAGCCTCTGACCAACGCTTGTTGCTTCGCATGTCAGTCCATATCCGTGTCAGCTCTTCTTCATCAAAGTCATCAAACGTGATTTCACGAAAGCGGCTCTTGAGGCCCGGATTGTACTTGTAGAAGCGTTCTTGAAAATCGTCTTCGTACCCAGCAAGGATCAATGACAAGTTGTCACGTTCGTTTTCGCAGAGAGTCAGTATGTGATTGGCTATTGGTTTGCCTTTGTAATCGTTCACGGGATCGATATCATAAGCTTCGTCGATGAACAGAGTTCCGCCCATGGCTTTTGAAACGTCCTTTTTGAACTCATCCATGCCACCCTCCTTCACCAACTGAGCCGTGGTCTCAACAAAAACGTCATTTTCACGGAAACCAGAATCGTGTAGAATTCTCGCGAAGGATCGGGCAACTGGGGGATGCAAAAGGCAACGTGAGAATGGCAGAATATGGCGACAATTGGACCAGTGGAAAGCGAAAGCCTTATACCTGTTGTCTTCCCTGTGCCAGGGTTGCCCAAAAAGACGTAGTTGGCAGAGACAGCATTTCGTTTCCTCGTCTCGGGGTCCATTTTTCGCACCTGAAGCGCTCTCTCCCATAGCTGGATTGCTTCGACTTTCACTTTTTTTAGCCCCGTCATGGCGAGGAGCTCATCCATTGCGTCCGACTGTACGTATCCCGGATGCGCCGACTGCAGGTCGGACCACTGTGCGACCAATGGATCCACTGAAATCCCCGAAGCATCATCTGTTGCCACAGACATCTCATCGTCGCTTTCATCAAGTGCCATCTCCTGCTCTGCTTCTGTCAACATATGTTTCTCTGACGGGAACAAGGAAAGGAACAAGCGCAGCAAGCGAGCACATCCAATGCCAACATGTTCCAACCGTGAGGCCACAATCAGTGTCCACGGATGAACCTTGCGATGCGAGCCTTTGTCATCCGCGTCCACTGCCGTTAGGTAATATCTAAGATATTGAGCCGCTTGGGTTCGATCGCCATTGATAAACTCGGCGGCAAAAAGAAGATTCAGCAGAGGTGTCGTTATTTTGGTGGAACTGCTGAGCGTGCGCAGGAGCTTGATTCCAGCAAAAGGGGTGGCATTGGCATTGGAAAACTTCATCTTGTTGCGCAAATCAGATTGCACGCTCTCAGGAATGCAATCCATGGACAAGTCTCTGTCAATCACAAAGCCAGCCAGAGCGGTTCCTTCGAGATTGTGACCTTGGCTGCTCTCATTTGAAGAGACCGACTGATCCTCGACGTCATCGGTCTTCTGTGGTGGAGGTGGGGCTGCCGGTACTGACTGCAGGAGGTTGGAGGGGACTGTCTCTCGCTGAACTTTTTCCAAATCAAAATTAATTGGTTCCAAGCCATCGAGGCATGACACAATTTGTTCAACGTCCGATCGTTTCAGTCGAATACGGCATACTGAGACCAGTGGGAAAGGGTAGCATACCACGAGGCGACAGCAGCCGTTTTGTTCTGTGAACACCAACGAGTCAAATACCTCGTTCTGCATCTTTTTCATCAGCTTTGTTAGATTCTTCTTTTGCGGGAACTGCTCCATGGGCGACAGGAGGGTTCGGGCAACTGGAGATACGGGAACGAAAGGTTGAGGACCATGGAATGAGCGGTTCCTTCCAACTCAGTTTCCACTTACCAGAGGCAACCCCACATAGCAGCAGCACTTCTTCATCATCCGATTTCATCGTAGACGCCAACCAAAGAAAGGAATCTCTCGTCCAAAGCGCAGTTAGTATGCCCTCGGCTGTCTTCCGCTTTGCCAGTTTGACCGGATCAAACCAATCAAGCCCAGTGTGGCTGCTGTCTCTCAACACCCGAAAACACGGAATGCGTTGGAGCCTGCACAGGGGCCGTTCCCAGATCTGCAAACGAGTTAGGAACACTTTGGTTGCCGCCAGCATATCACTTTCTTTTTCCATGTACTTGGCTGGCTTTGGGCGGAGCATTTGAATGCACTCCGAAGGAACCATTGCAAGATATGCCTCAAGAACTTCACTAGGAGTGAAAGCTTCAGCCTTGATAGCTTCGTCCAGCGCATCCATGGCACATCCTGGGCAACTGAGTGGACTTCCTTCTGTGCACTGCTTGATCTGGTAAGAATGCTTTTTTGAGGGGCAAGTCCAAGCGGTGGGGTCTTTGCAAGCGACCAGGCCCTGGAGCCCACACTTTGCTTTGAGCGTCACTCCGCAATGAGCATAGTTCCAGCAAGCCTTCGATCCGATTTCCTTGCAGGGGATCGATGCGTTTCCTGCCAAGTACTCCTTCGCTTTGGAACAAGACACCTCGGCTGTGTGACCACAATCTTTGAGTTTGATCTCTGCCTTCTCATCGCACCGGTATGTTCGCTCCCGAAGTGTTTTGGGAAGCTCCTTGCACAGCACTTGTCTCGTATGGCTGCAAGGCAGCGTCAAGGAAATTGTCCCACGGCAGGTTGCCAGACATTTCTTCAGGGAAGTTGACGCAGTCTCGACGTTACATTCGTGAGCAAAGCTGTGCTGTATCGTCTTCGAATTCCGGATCTCCTCAAATTGTTGTTGGCTCCAGAGAGGTTCTGAAAGTTCTCCGCGAACCCTGCAGGGAATCTCTAGTACATGGGAGCAGAGGGGGCTCTTTGCTTGCAACAGCTGTTCACATCCAACCTTTGGATGCCGAGCTCCTGTCGATTATGGAACGGGGCAAGGTGAGATGGCTTTCCAAAGCAAAAAGGAGCTGCAAAAACAAAGCTGGACACAGTCTTTCGGCAGTGCACTTACGCCAGCACTTCATAGGTTGTTTGTGTCCACATTTTCGAACAAGCTCAACATCAACCTGGCACTTTGGAACACCTGGTGGCAAGGGACTCGGCTGTTGTGTCGTCCCTTCAATAATTTCTACTGAGGGAGTTGGAGGTTTCAGGCCATCCAATGCAGATAGAAACTGGCACTGGATTTCGACTTGGTGGCCACATCCAGGATGGGCACGGTGAACAATTTCCGCACAGGGGCCAAGCTTGTCTGATTTTCGAAAAGCGTCATTGCACTGCATCTTTTGCTCATGACCGCAAGTACGAACCAGAACAACTTGCTTGTGGCAAGTGTAGTCCTGTGGGCCATACTGTTCGCCCTCGACCACCTTCCCCACTTCGTCAATGCTCTTCCCTGTCCAGTTTCGGAGGGCTTGAGCTACGTTGCAAGGCAGTAAGTGCTCGTGCCCACAACGCGGGAGAATTACCTCCTGTTTCCTCAAGCAATCATACTTCCTGACACCACTTTCGTACTGAGTCTGCTGCCAACACTTCATTTTTTCGGGGTGACCGCATGGCGGGTGGTATTCCACATCCTCCTTGCATTTTACTTTGTTCGGGTCAGCTGTGAAATCGCGAAGCTGACGGCATGTGACCGAGAGTGTGTGATCGCAATCCTGAAATGTGTAGGATACTGGGGATGGTAGGTCGCAGTTGGGCCAGGGGATCTCCCCTGAAGTCATCTTGTCATGTTTCCAGCAAGCCAGCTGTACACAATGACCACAAGGAAGGGTGGATGCCCCCTCCTGAGGGCACCTGTAAGCATTGATTGCTGTAGTTGCGTCCATTGTCCCTGGGGCATTTGTCAAGAGATGATGGCACGTGATTTCGCCTTGATGTCTGGTGCATGGTGAATCCAGTGGAACAGGACACATTTTTTTATGGTCGTTGCTGGGCCAATGACAAGGAAGCGCACATGTATGGGAGCATCTCAGCTTGTGTTGGCACACTTCTTCGCAGAACCCAAGCTTCAAATCTGCGGCATTCTTAGCTGTGGACCGGCTTTGCCGGTGGACAGGACAGCAAAGAGCTGTGCGGGAAGCATCATTGTTAGAGGTTGAGAGTTGATGACAGACGATAGTCTTAGAGGGAATTACACGACAACTTACGCAGTTCACTTCCTGTCCGAGGCTTCTCCTCCTCATGCTGCTGATCTCCGGGCGAACCGTTGGAGTCGCTTGTTGAGGGCTGCTGAAGAAGACCAAAAGTGTCTGCCCAATGTCGTGGCATGTTTTTGCCTTCAAAGTATCCTGTGTTCCCTAGAATGTAGAGGCCAAGGCGGGCTCGACTGAGAAGCACAATCATCCTGTTTTGTAGCTTGACAAAACCAGTTTTCGATTTCTCGTCAACGACCAAGCTACAAATTATAATGTCCTCTTCATCGCCTTGGAAACGATCAACTGTGGAGATCCTGATCTCATCTGTTCCTCCCGATCTTCCAGCCAGTAGCCGCTGAGAAGAGTATCGTCGATCGCTTGAGATCATCTTTCGAATAAGCATCAGTTGTCCTTTGTAGGGAGTGAGAACAGCAATGCTAGGTCGAGGTACGCCGCAACCCACCAGGTAGGCAACAAGCGAACAAACCATCTCTGCCTCCACAGGGTTGATACGCGACACACCGACGTGGGACTTTTTCTGCTCCCCTTTATGAGTCCAAAGAAAAACATGAGGACCGATTCCGGGGACTTCTCTTCCTTGCGTTGCTGTTGAGGGAATAAGTTTCTGAGGGCCACTGTCGCGCTGCCCAATCACTTGGCTGTGAACAGTTTCGTGATCTTCAATTTCTGTCACGTCGAGATAGAAGCTTCGTGTGAGATCGCAGATGTTTGTTCTCATCCGTCTCTGAACCGATAGCACTGTTGATGGAATACCATGTCCAGCGGGTGCTTCGATCAAGCGCTGAAACATTGAAACATTCACTTTGTTGCACTGTTCGAACTCAAAGCGGTCTTGGACAGAGGGTTGCAGCTGCCTATGATCACCAATCATTTCCAGCTTGACAGTGGACTCAGTCAAACAAGAAAAGAGGAGTGGCTCGCATACCTCACTTGCTTCTTCAACCACAACTGCAAAGGGTTTGGTGGTACGAATCGCTTCAAGTCGATGAATGCAGCCAACCATTGTTCCGGCAATAATGGACCGGTTTTCGTATACCCGGGCCTTGGCTTGGACTTCAGCCTTGCGCAAGTCCTTCCTTGCCACCTTAATCGCCTCCCTCGTCTGCTGACTTGCTTTCCTCAGGAGCTCTTGAAGCACCTGCATGAAGGTGTAGCAAGCATTCCAACGCTCCTCGATAGTCCAGTCCCAACACCAGTCTGCTGGCAAACTAGGTGCCTGATCATCAATCCCATCAGCCGTGGGGTTTGCCAAACTCTCTGAGGCCGTGGCACTTGCTACATCGTCCTCTAAGTTCTCGACATCCTCCAAGTTGTCCTCCGCTCCATCAGTGATCTCGAAAACGTCCCGAAGATGCTGGAGATTATCACCTTCCTCCTCATCGAATTCAACTTCATCGGGCTCTAACCGGTCGACGTCTGCGTCGTCAACTATCTCGGAACCAGCGCTGTGAAACGACATAGCATCCTCCTCAGTGTCAGGTAGCGGCGAGCTTGCCGGTTCCTTCTCATCCTTTTTGGCTTTCTTTGTTGACTTCTCCTGCAGCTGCTTGTTGTCGTTTGCATCCTCCATCGGTTGTACCTTTCGCTTCTCGGCAATACTCATCTTCTCCTTCTTCAACTTCGGATTTTCGACTGCTTCCTCCTCCACATCGTCGTCGTTCTTCTTTCGCTTCTTAGTTTCTTCATTGTGATCATCCTGACCATGGTCTGTTTCTTGCCCGACGTTCACAGCTGTCCTTCGCTCCGCCTCGAGTGACAACTGCTCGGGTGGTGCATGGTCGTAGCAAAACTGTTGCCCTGGCAACACCACACCCTTACAGGGCTTGCCTTTTCGAGTCCTCTCCAGGCACGTTTTTGTCGCTGGTTCAACAAACAGAGGCATATTCTCGTCTTCTTCCTCGTCGTCCACAACGTAACTGTTGCTGCTCACTTTTGGAAAAGCAGAGGAGCGGTGCAAGTGCAAATGGTCTCTGCAGAAAGGGATTTGATGAGACACAGCTGAGCCCTTGCACGGCTTTTCCTTCTTGGTCATGGCTGTGCAATTCGTCGCCTGAACATGATCCGAACAAAAGGGCTGTCCTTCGACACAAAATCCGACACAAGAAGGGATGATACACATGGGATGGTCTTCACATACATTTTGAGGAGGATCGTCAATTGCGAGCTTCGCCTGAAGTCCAAGGGAAACACACTTTTTGCAGGCATGCTCGAAGCAGAACTGTTGCCTCTCTTGGATCGTTGGATAGTCACACCCAGGAGACTTACAGAGGTGTTTCACACAATAAGAGTGATCCTCCTTTCTTGGAATCCCGCATCGTACATCCGCAGACGAATGCTGACATCTGTGATAGTCACACAGTGAAGAATCGGGAGATATGGAAAGCCTATCACAATACATGCACTTGGGCAGCCCACATATCCAATTGAAAATCAATTCTCCCCAATGCAGCTGATGGTGGGCAGCATTGCTTTGTAAACAAGGGATGAATTTTGCGCCGGGGGACTTCATTACGTGATCCTTGAGCAAACTGCTCTCTTCCCCGGTAGCATCCAACTCGAGGAACGCGAACGAATTGGCCGCTTCTTTCGGGTTTGAATCTTTGAGTTCTTCAAACTTCTTTAAAGTCTCTCGAAGCAAATCCCATCGACCAATGCTATCCATCAGAATTTTCGTTGCTTCGATGGCTGCCTTACGACGTGCCTTGGCGTCGCTATCAGGGTTCGACGAGTCTTCGTTTGGCGCGAACATGGCATGACGGAATGAAAGAAATGAAGATGCTTTCCCTTCAATGGTGATATCAAGGGACTGCTTTAGTGTATCCAAGCGATCGAAAATCTTTCGTCGATTCTTCACTTCGACATCAGATTGGTATGCGTTCCGCTCGGAGAAGGCGGACAGCCTAGGGTCTTTGCATTGACCACCAATTCGGATCATCTTGTTCCGGAGTGAGTAGGCACCCAGCGCGTTGACAATGTCGACACAAAATTCGTCGATTGCGTGGTTCTTATACGAAAGTACAAGTATGGGTGGAGTGCCAACTGTTTTTGTCTTTTTTAACCACAGAGTTCTTATCAGCACCAGCGCTTGAACCAGAGCAACGCCCAGATACGATTTGCCTGTGCAGCACACGTCGGCAACGAAACTGTGAGTTTTAGCTGCAACATAAGCAGTCAGGAGCCATCGCATAGACGTACCAGTGCCGGGTGGTCCTTGAGTAAGATGGACGCAGTTCCTCAGGGAATCTATAAAGGCAATGAGCTGCATTTTGTCCAGCGTGGTTTTGATCACCAAGGCCTCCAGCTGTTCCACAAGCTGCTCTGTCAGTTGTGCATCCCTTCTAATTTCTCTAATTGGCTCAAGCTCGCTTTCGCGAATCATTTGAGAGATCAGAACACGCTTGTCCTCAGCGAACACCTGATCCGCCGACGCTGAAGAGTCCATGATGGAGTTGAAGGTCTCCACTGGGTTTGTCTTCCAAAGATTCAGATATCTCCCGCTGTCAAAAGGCAGCCGCGTGGCCTGCTGGTTCTCCAGAGCGCGTAATACCGGGATCCATTCTGGGAGTGCAGGAAAAGCAAGTTGAGCGGCATGCTGCGATCTCGATCACGATGCCGTGGTGATGGGCGTGACACGGCAAATTCCTGGACTTACCTGGGACAAAGGTCATTGCATCAATGATAGCCACACTTCCATCCTCTGCCAACGAGTCCACGTCAAACTCCACAATCGACGCCAAGTTGACAGCAACTTCACCCTTCTCTCTCCGGTGACTTTCATTTCGACTGTCTCCATGACACACAACTTCCCCCCACACGATGGGATCCGAACTGGAGAGGCAAGATCTTCTGCTGTCCAAAAGAACGATGCCCACCAGGTTCGCAGGAGACAAACGCTTCGTGCTTCTCCAATGAATACTGGGAGGTGGGTTCCTGCTCTGAAAGTTCTTGAAGTATACTACTCCGTCAGATCGAACCCGAAGCACAGTTGCATCGTAGATATGCGTCGCCGCTCGTGGACTTGGAGGCCCAATGTGATCAGAGATAGCTTGGTTGGCACACTGCTCACACAAAGCGTCATGAGACTTGTTCCTGCTGCAGGCAAAAAGGACGGGCCGACGACAACCAGACCTACGACAGGTCATATTGCCAGTGCTGCAACTGCTTCCAACCGGCCAGAGAGCGGAAGAACAGATTCCTGATTGCCCGCGAGTCCGACATCGAGGCGCGATGGCCGAGAATCCACCAAAGAAAGTCATTGCAATCCACAAACGAAGAACCGTCTGCATGTATTCTTCTGGGTTTTCATAGACGCCATTTGGCCCGATCTTCATCACAGGACAACATGCAGGTGCAAAAAAAGTTGGTTCACCCAACCACTTGATATTGGCAGTCTTCCAAGCGCTGTAATCTGAGAGCTCTGCACTGTTTGTTTCGTCTCCTAGAGTATTGTCTGCAGCAGACGCTTTACTTCTTGTCTGAATTCGCCACGGCTTCTCTAGATCATCTAAGATCTCTTCCAACGACGATCCTACCAGACGGTGCTCTTTTCTCTTCTTTCGCAGGCTCCCTTCAGCCAGCAGGATCACGTTGCTAAGAAATTCATGCACATCATCACGAGAAGCTTGCCACTCAAAACCAAGCAATCGTTTCACGGCGTCCGACACTGTTTTCACAGCCGTCAGGACCGCTTCATCACTTGCAGACGCTTTTGTTTCTTCGGATAAATACTTGCCGATGACTGCCTCACAAGCAACAATGGGTGGTGGGTCAGCCGCGGAACTTCCAGGGATTCTTGTCAAAACCACAATGAGGAGACGTATCGTTGCTTTGTCCATGGAAGCGTGCCCTTTCCAGCATGCCTGCCAGGGACCTCCTTGTTTGGATACTTCCGTGCCAATCTTCGCATTTGGTAGCGCTGCAAGATGCCGAACAAAAGACACGGATGCATCGTTTGGCCGTGCAATCTTCTTGGGAGGACCAGACTGCCTTCCACTTGTACTTCCTCCTCCTCCTTGTCCTGGGCCAACATGGCGGTATTTGCAGCTGCTTCCGAACCTGCACGTTCCATGATTTTGAAATTCGAAGCAAACTCCGTAACCTTGTTGGTTATTTCCACCTCCTCTGCCTCTACCGGTACGCCAACTCCCTCCTCCACGGCCGCTAAATCTGCCACCCCCTCCTCGTCCAGAACCCGACGTTCTGCCCATTCTGCGACAAACAAATCAAAGCTGGAGCTCTTCAGGTAGATTGACGAAAGGATTTGCAGATTGTCTTTGCTGATCCCTGTCTTCTTGTCCAATAATAACTCAAATACTCTCTCTTGTTGCAACCAAACTCAAATACCAGTACTACTTATTGCTTCAACGTTTCAACCAAACTGTTTCTCTTTTGCTGTTGTTTGTTGTTGTTGAAATGGATCTAAATCCAGATCTTTCAGGGGAAGAGCGCCCGTATTGCTTGTTGTCGGAACGAAACAACCGTGTGGATCTGTTCCACGGAAACATGAAAATTTCGAGGTACCGTAGAGGTGAGTAGAGTACCCACAACGTACCATACTGTAGTGAACGGAGAGTTGGTAGATACCGGTACCGCGGGTATGACTCGACTAGACTCCATTCTCTCGCCCGTAGCTTGGATATCCTCACACTCAAGATAACCATTTTTCTGGAGGGGAGCCACGCCAACCTTGGTCATCGCCCACTGATGCCGAACTCCCGGCCCATAAAAAACTTGGCGGTATTTCCCTGTTCTTCCTTCATGGATTTGATTCGATTCGATGCCATTATTGGTCTGGTAGGTAGGACTTTTTCAAACCGACAGATATCATCTTCTTATCCTGCTCAAAACAGTGGGAGTGTGGCATTTTTGTTTTCGGAGGTTGAGATGGGAAATCAATTGGCTAGCACGTGCTAGCTACAAGCGTACTTTTATCTTTAGAAGGCAACACGCAGGCGTTTGGTTGGATGCTGGACGGAGTGACCAGGAATAAGGATCGATCGTCAGCTTTGTCATGGACGTAGGATAGGAAGCTAAGAAAAATGGAGCTGTAGTTTGGCTTTCATTTATGCCTTGCATGGTTGCGGTTCCGATGTTCCGATGGCACCGGAACATGCGTTGTCAGCCATGACGCCATGACCACAAAATAAATGAAAAATGAAGCCCAAACAGGGCCGGAATTCTGGCAGACTTTCCTTCTCCAGTTGACCCGATCGATGCTCCCTTGGATCCATTGCCTCTCGCTGGTATGATAGCTACGGTAGGGTAGCCAGGAATTTGATGTGTTGCAACCAAGAGGCAATGAGCCATTCGGTATCTTTTGTCAGTAGCTACCGGTACGTACAGTACCGGTACGCTGACCATAGCTGGATCTAGCCGTTTCGTCGCCAGATACAGGGTGTTCAGTATTTGGCTATCAAAGGTCATACCGGAGTCGGCCGATAACAAGCTGAGTGAACGCTGCCCTAAGTTTTCGAATATGGAGAACAAGATGCAAGTGTTCTTTTTACACCATTCTTTAGTTAAAAGCATTAACAAACGTCGTAAGAAGGACTGTTTTGGCGAGGAGTACACAGTTATTTAGGGGTTCAAGTTGTGTCACATAAGTAAATGTACTATATTTTACTATAGTTGAAAGCTACTATTTCAAAAGGCCATAAATCTTCACCCAGACTGAATATCAAAAATCGGAGAACGTGTTGAGGTAGATTATTTAAAGACGAATCTCCCAATATAGGGGTTGGGGGGTCTACGTTTAAGTCCTGATATCGTTTTTACTCTGACAAAGTCATTTGAATCTAATTCTTGTACACCCTGTAGAAGTCAAACTTCGCGACAAGACGCATCAGATGCGAATAAAGATTTAGGAGATTGTCGGATAACGTGACTGACAGGAGTTGTTAAATCTCCTCGACCATGGCATACTGGCCACCGCCACAAAAGTGCTGTAAACACCCACTCTCAGGGCATAGCATGGTTGGTGGTGGACTTTCATCAAGCTAGCTACCGGTAGCTAGTATTAGCAAGAGCAAACTGAATGGAAGAATCCAGAGGCGAGAAAGAGGGAAAGCACGCAAAGGCCGTTCTCTGTGGACTCTCCAGTTTGTGATGGTTTTGGTAGGTTTCTGGCTTGGATCTTGTCATATTCCATTTCTACCACCTGAATTGGCACTTCTGTCATCCTTGGAAATCACTGTGCTATGGGGTAGCTTTGATGTTTCATCTGGGTACCTTCTTTCAAGTGGCGTTAAGCAACTTGTGAACCTTCCCAACCTGACCGAATTTATATGTAGTATGGGCGGCCTCAACAAGGAGGTGTTTCCTACCGTATAGATTGTTCCAATTCAATTCAGCAATCTTGAATTGCTCGATCTTGACTTGACCATCCAGATCATTTGCAGAGGCCAATACGAACTCAAATTGGCTTGTAGCCTTTGTGCGCCTTGGTGACAACCAGTGGATGGACACTCAACCATCTGAATTGGGACTCCTGTCCAGCACTGAATTGCTGCCACAGGATTTCAACAGTCTGACTGGCACTATATCCACAGAGCTATGCATATTTGGAACACCCCATCTGAGCTGAAATTGTTGTCAAGCCTAGCTAGAGTGGTTGAACCTTGCAAACAGAGAGATGCAGAGGATCGACACGTTGTTGGTTACCGATGGGCTATTAATAACCCAGATAACCTGAAAATACCAGCTGCCAGTGCAGAAAAGCCAACGAAACAGCTGTAGAGTTGGGGTTATGACATGACATTGAGTCCTGCCAGTCATGACACCTTCCACGTAAAAGAAGGTGCTTACCGGGTCCGTTCTCTTGTTGACACCATAGACTCGTGTTCTTAAGAGTTTGAAAGTGTCCTATTGCTTTTTTGAGTGTTCTTTGCCGTGTATTTTCCCTTGGGGGCGGTATCTTGGTTCGTAGCTTTGGTACCAGAGTTCAACGTCCACAAGGGCGCAAAACTTGTGAAGGCGAAGAATCCATGTCTTGCTATGCATACGGTAGGCCCGCAGTAGTTCATCACTAATAAAAGCCAAGCGAAAAGGATTCCATTCACTATTACAATTGCATTCCATCCAGCTACATACGGTATCATATCATATCATACATACAGACAAGATCTTCCGCGACACCATGGCGTTTGACCAACCCTTGGAAGCAGATAGGGTCGACGATAACTTTTTGATTTCGTTGGTGCGCGGCCCTGTTCTGGGTGCTCTCTCTTGGATCATGGGCGGTGAGGATGCTGATGATTCCGAGCGGGAATTGCGGCGCGGTTTGGAAGACATGATCATTGATGATGAAGCAGAAGAGGAACGTGTCAACCACAATGACAACGGGTATCATCATCACCTGGCCAACGACAAACAACAGCAACAACAACCCAAGGCTAATCTGCCTCGCATGGTGCATTCCGATGTTTCCGTGTCGGAAATCGCTGGGACAACCATGGATCACAACAACATGATGATGATCAAGAACCACAACTATCATCTCCCGAGATCGGAAAAGAAAAAGATGAGCTGGTCGGACAATCTAGTGGAATACATGGACGAAGAGGTAAGCCATCAGCTCAGTTTGATATACCCCCTGCGCAGTGATTCATTTCAAGATTGCCATGATACTGGCTTTTTTGGCCGCATTTTTCATGTTTGTAAGGATTTGGCAATGGTATTTTGTGCATATGCGAGTGTGTTTGTATGTATGTATGTATGTATGGTACTGTTATCTATCTGGTGGCTTTGGTATGCTTGTTGTTTTTGCTGCTGCGCTGCCATTGCCATTGGAACCGTCGTTTGTTGGAAGAACGAACTTTTGGTTGGCCATGGTCCCCTGTTTTCTTAAAACAAAGGTCATTCTGAAGAGAAGTGGTTGTCAAAAAGAGACAGCTTGGAAGGTGACGCATTGGTTTGGTTCCAGTCATGCCTGTGCATCATCCATTTTGACACTTCCCGTCCCACTTTTTGACACTTCCCGAGCTTGCGCTTTCTCTCTTCTTGTTCCGATGCTCAAGTCTTTCGTCTTTGATTGACAACCTGCTCTCATCTCGTCGTTCGTTCGTTCCACTAATTACTGTGTCATAACCATACTGTACACAAGGCCCAACGCGAAAGATGTGTTACAGTAGATAGAGTTCACTTGTTCTGATACACAGTCTGACACAAGTCCTCTCCTTCCTCTTCTTACTTTCTTATTGCCTGCTTGCCATGGGTAATGATCAGAGTGTTCGACACGAGCCTGGGACTGCCGCCGGAAGTTCCTCGGGCATCGCCAAGCCCATCAAGTCGGCAATGACAAGGACTGCGTCCATTCGATCCCACTCGTTGGCCGGGGGATCATCGTCCGCATCATCATCATCGTCGTCCGCAGAAGAAAAGGAACGAAAGATACGATATCTTCCCAGTGGCCTGGATAGAGCACACAATGGACTCATCATGCCCACACGACCGGTCGGGAATGATAACAATGGCATTGACAGTCCACAATGGGGTTGGTACGCACTCAATACCACTCCACCCACGCCAGAGATGTATCACAGTCGATCCAGTCTGCGGCAATCCCAAAAGACAACCATGTCCGCCGCATCCTCTTCGGAGGGAGACAACCCGGCCATTCGAGGACCCAATCGGGTCTTCCAAGGGCTCAAGGCAGGCTCCAACCGACCGCCAGTTGGATGGCCCAGTGTCCCTCTGTGATGGCTTACTTTTTGACAAACGAGTTTTTGATCTACTGTATTAGGGCCTACTCTATCTATCATCTGTTGAGGGGCAAACAGATCTGACGACCCAAAGGAGAGTCTGCGTTATCCAATGATTCATTCCACTTTTGGAGGTCACGTCAGATCAACAAGCCAACCCAACCCATCTGCATGTGGGGATGTGACACATCACTCATTGTAGCATTTTAGCACTCCATTCAGCTATTGTATAGCGCGCGTTGTAACTTCTCCCTATTTTAGTTTTTGAGTCACTTTTTTAACATCTTTGTCTATCCACCATTTTAATAGAGGAGAGAGATCAACCTGCACCACTGCATGAGAACTCCATCGTCAACCCCCAACCACCAATCGATGCTTTGGCAATGGACTACCGGTACCGTTGGATGGAGATCAACCCGTCTACATCATCGGCAATCAGCAACAGCCAATCAATGACGAGCCCACGGCCCAAGGCACTTGCATCAAGCTAAAAAGTTCGAGTTTCTGACTTGTGACTCCCACGACGCACTCACTAAGTATGTACAGGTACAACAATCAACATGGTCGCTGTCGCCATGCGACGATAACAATCCGTTTCCTATCACATCTCAAGCTCTACGAAGGAAGCCACACAACAGGTGCTTATGGGAATTGGCGAAGCTACCACATGTAATTTGACGGCTGCGTGCAGGCAAGGATGCGATACATCCTTTTGACGCTACCGTAAGCACCATTCCCATTGCCAACACTGAACTCGTGTTTACTCATACAGCTTTGTCAGCACGTTCGCTACGTTATGCATGCCTATAGATCTGGTTCTTCCTTCTGCTCACTACCAGTACTGCTTTCCTCCTCCTCCTCTTGCTCATCATCCAGATTCTCCTCAACCTCCTCTTCCTCGTCTGCTGCAGGTGTTTCGTCCGCGTCAGGCCACTCATCAGCATGCAGCACTGGTTCACCATACTTCTTCTCTAGCATCCTCCAAAGCTTATCTTTCTTTCCTCGATATTTCCAAACCAAATAGCGTGAATTATGTTGGTCGCCGTCTTGGATGGATCCAGGAAGAACATGCTTATAGTACGCCAGCAATCGCTTGGTATCTCGCTCAAAGACACGTTCTTCCCAGTAGGATTTGACCAAAAAGCCACCAAAGAAAGCCACTGCCAAGATGATTCCGATCCAGTATCGCAAGGTCGAGTTGCGTGCCGATACTGTAGCTTGCACCACAGACTCCCTTTACAGCAAAGCAACAATATGTACATACATTAGCAACACTGGCACTCGTCGATTCAAAAAGTACCGTGAAAACAATTCAACACAGTACAAGTACTCACCCTTCCCCGTGGAGACCAGCGGTGATGATGCCTGTTGGCCCCAAACTCAACTCAAAGACCGCATGTTCACAGGCAATTTCTTCGTCATCCTTTCCTTGAATGACTAGGGCTTTCTTGGTGTCGCCCACCTTTTTCCATTCACCGTCCCGACTCCATTTCTGATACACTTGCACACGTAGATTTTTAGCGGCTTCTTCACGCTCGGGAATACCCTTGGATCCTTCGATAGCCTTGGCTGCTTTCAAAAAGTCTTCGTCTGACATTCCCGTGGAGCCTTTGCGATGGATTACGCATTCCGAGGCTTTCAAGTCAATGGCATACGGTCCAGCAGGAACTCGACGATCAAAATCGAAAATTGTCTTTACAGGCTCCCACTTCTTTTTCTTACCGCCATGGTAGTTCATACTGACGCCCACAGCCACCGGGGCTACGTTGGCAACACGAATACTCAAAATGGCCTTGGGTTTCGCGCCCTGTTGTTCCGTGATGGTCCGGATCCGACCATGACTGACTGCCCCTAGCACGGCTGTGCCCATGGCTACACACTCGGCTTTTGTCGTGTGTACTGGAATATCCTTCCATTCGGAGACCGATTTCGCTTTGAATTCGTCCCACTTGGCATGGATGTTGCTTTGATGTTGCGCTGACCCGTAGATGATGATTGATGGCGGAAGCTCCATGTCTGGTAGAATTGCCTCCAAGTTGGATTGAAGCTCCGTGACGCATTTTTCCAAGGTACTGACAGGATCCTCCACTTGGTACGAGACATTACTGAGAACCTTGAAATCTCCAAACAAGCAGTCTGGTTTGTCGGGTTGCACACTTGACACTTGTACTGCGGTACATTCAATGCCATCATCTGTCATGCCAAACAAAAAGAGACCAACATCTTCGTCCATCGTCGCGTCTGGATCTTTGGCTTTGGCAATTTGGTATTGCTTGGCACGTTCTTGTCGCACGTCATTAAGTGCCTTCAATGTGAGGTTAGGTTTGCCATCTTTTGGTCCGGGACGAAGAGCCCCAGCCAAGGCACAAATGCTTCTTTGAAACATGACTCCACTGCCACCCATAGCATCCATGAGGGATTCTACAGAAGCATCGTGACATTGCCAGGCAGGAAGAGCGACGGCAAAGGGATATTCGGTGATATCTTCGTCATCCTTGTCGGCTTTAACCTTTTTGGCAACATGATATTGCGCCTGATGTAGTAGAATTTGTACGCCTTCTTCGGGCAACACTGCCAATGACTTCTTCTTATTGTGGAGCCTCACTTTAAAGACTGCTCGGTCAAAGTCATCACCCAGAGGCTCGGATCCATCTAGCGTGGAATTAGCAATGGAAACACCCACATCTGGCGATGCATCTTCCGCGATAGCTCCCGATTCGGAGGCGACTGGTAGATTTTTTTTGATAATTTCGGGAGCATCGTCACTACGTCGCAATCCCAGCCACTGATGAGGACGCGGCATTCGTACAGTTCCTTCATCCGTAGCATTGGCCAATGCATCTGTTTGCAGCGACGAAAATGCCTTGGATTTCGTCAAGAATTTTCGCAGAGTCTTGTGAGCTGTCTCGTTATTTCCCTGAAAATAGAGATCGGGCTTCATTTTCCCTACCAGTGCCGGTGGTCCTGCCTGCCCTTCTTCGGCTTTGGGAGGGAACATGGCGACAAGAGGTTCATGGGCATAAAGATCGACGGCCACCAAGGGTAGATGCGAGACGCCACGAGCCTGTTTCGCCGATAGAGCTTGCTGATGCTTGTCAACCAAATCAGCTCCCAAAGCAGCGGCTGAAACAGGAGGAGCAATGCCTCCAGGAATGCTCCCTCCCTGAGGCGGAGGTGGAGCCGCCGCTGGACGCGCCATGGCGTTGGCATGGGCCGACATGGCCATGCCACCACCTCCTCCTCCACCGCCGAAGCCGCCGCCTCCCGAAGTTGTTGCTAACGACATGGTCCTGAGATGTTGATCGATTCTACTCTCTGCGTGCTAACGTGCTAAATATTAGCTATACTAGTAGTTTATGGACCGAGGAGAGCTTCAACAAACAACCGCCAAAAAAGAAATGAGCGGAAGCGACCGGGCTCTTGAGAAATCTGAAAAATGCCGTCCTCCACGTGGAATCAAAGAGGGTTTGCACGCGCCATTGAAAGCACAATTTTCAAAGCACGGCTGATGTGAAGCGGCACCGTACCGCTACAATGTCTGCTACTATCGGTACTGGTGCTGCTGGATCAGTCCTTTGACACCCAAGTGGTTTTGATGCTAGACCCCAGCTGCTAGTAGACTTCTATTCGTACTCCAAAGTTATAGGTTTTGACGAGCTTTCCTTTCAACCTATCGGCATCACGCACTGACTGGCAAGCAATCAATCGTCTGAAATCTATAGTTCCAGGCCTACAAAGCTCAACAAAACCCTCAGAATCTCCTACAGTACAAGCTACTAGTACCTTTCATAGACGTTGAGGTCGCAAGAGCGTCCGAGCAACTCTGATTTTGAAACTGTAAATGGAGCTACTATTGTTTCAGTCGCTGGACTATTGTGTCAATGGGTGTTTCCTCGGACCAGCAAGTTCGACTCCAGCGGGAGGACACTGAGATGCCACCGCGAAGCTGAGAAGAAAGCCAAGACGACTGCTCCTGTGCATCGTTCGGTCCTGATTACGGATTGCAACCTTTCTGAGCTCGGGCATGGCGCTCTACCGGTATGCAGCGCAGAGGTGTGCGACCTTTCAAAGCATGATTCATCGCCCGATCGCGACTGGCTGGCGAGTCACAGTTAGTTGGTCGTTTCCGCTGACTATGTACCGGTAGAGACAGCGGACGGGTGATGCTCACAAAAAACAGACTACGAAGATAAAAATACAAAGGCTCTACAAACCACGAACACAAACCACAAACCGCAATAACATCAACATGAACAGAAACAACTCCATCTCCACTGACTTCACTATTTTGACAGATGGCTCATCTATCATCTTTGAAGACAGCAGCGCCGAAAAACAAACGCGACAAGACAATCGGGCACGCCAAACTCTACCTTCGACAGGCACCATTGTCCAAGCTTGCTTTCAAAAAGAGTCAGCTCAAGACAAAACCGGTCTTGCCATTGGATCCAATAAAGCAGACCAAGTTGTGATCACCAAAATTGTCCCAAACTCTATTGTATTCCAGCAGGCTCAAGAGCTTCAACCTGGAATGCAACTTCTTAGCATAAACGGAGTGACTCTGACTACAGTTACAGATGGAGTGTCTCCACTTCAAAAGGCTGCTCAGTTACTGATGGGTGCCAGTGGCAACATTATGGTTGTTGCCCTTGTGCCCCCAACGATGCGAAGACAACGAAGACTTGGTGGTGGCAACCACAAAGTATACAAGGTCCTAAAATGGGGACTCTGCCTCAGAGATGCAACCAACTCCCAGGGTAAACCAATAGTTGTGATTCACAGACTTGAGTACCATGCAGCTACACACAAGGAACTGTCTGCGGGCATGATCATCCGACGCATCAACTCTGGAACCTGTGCACACATGAATGCTTCGAAAATCGCAAAACTATTGGAAGACCAGCGGGGAGGTCAATGCAAAATCACGGTTGAGAAACCCGCAACCGGAAAGACCACCAATGTAGTGCTGGGGCACAGGGACACGCACAATTTTCGATTTAGGACCAGCAACTGGCACCGGTACTTCTAAAGAAGGCCGATGCAAAGAGAACGGCACTAGTAGTAGACCAAATAAAAAAGCAAGCTTACATGTACATTTTAGTATAGCCAGACCAAACCGAACGGTGTGGAACTATGATTGGCAAAAGAGGTGAAGGCTGATTGAATTATTCAGTTTTGTATATCGGCACCTCGACCGCTAGCTTGTTGGGAACTGTTGGTATTGACTTGCTACGATACTAGCAATGAAAGTCACACCCAACGGGGCGTTAGATAGTTAGTTAGTTGACCCTCAGCTTTGACTTCGTTCCATTTTTCTGTTTCAACACCCTCACGACTCGTCAAAAGGGTGGTCTTCCACGCTCCCATTCAACACGACGCTACTCGACCCTGGCTCGTCTGTTGTATCAGAGGACAGTAGAATCTTGGAAACGTACGATTTGAGGTGCCCATAGCTGGCAAGCTGCGAATCCCACCAGCGCGCAGGAAGCTTTCGTTCCAGGGTATAATGTTCTCCAGTTGAAGGTATGGAGGTTGACAGGAAGGTGGGTGAGTTCTGTGCGGGAAAACGACAAGTTTGACAGGAGGCAGATTTGCAGCAGTGAACATCCTGCAGCGGAGACTCTCTTCTGTCGGCGGCTGCTTCATCCGAGGGCAGCGAGTCTGCATATGTGCTGAAGGATGCATCGTGACCGTCTAGGTCGCTGGATTGTGCTGACATGGAGGCACTGGAAGACCACATTCCGCTGGTAGAGACAGTGTAGGGGGTAATGCCCTTTTCGATAGAGGGTGTTTCATCGGAATCATCATCATCGTCATCCAGGCTGAGCAAGCTCTTGTTGGTGATAATGGTGATTTTGGGCTTTCGGAGGTCCAGGTCCGTCCGTGACTGTTTTCGGGAAAGTTCTGCATCCTCCGAAGAGGATTCATCCAGCAAAGTGCTGGAAAATGTCACGTTACGCCGAGCCAGAGGCGAGAAGGAATCCCTGCTGGCAACGTTGGAAGAGTCCACCGTTCGCAGCCCAGTTGAGTGACTGCTGGCGAGGATCGTTGGTGGTTCCTCCTCTGAGTGATTGGTAACCTCTAGACATCTCGCAACCACAGGGCTAATGCCACTGGAAAGAACAGAACGCTTGCTATTTCCTGAAGACAGTATTGCCGAGTGTTTGCTGTTGTTTTCGGACCGCTTGCTCATCTCCGAGTGGCGAGTGTATTTGCTGGCATCTGAATGTTTGGTGGCCAGAGGTACTACTGCTTCTTCTTCCTCCTCTTGAATGGGAGTGTGAGTTGTTTTGGGCTGTGTGCGCCCTTGCAGCAGAGATTCTTCGTATGATTCATTGAGATTGCTCTCGACCGCGTGGATGTGATCCTCCGAGACGTTGGTGGCCAATGTAATGTTGTGTTTGGAGAGAAAGGAGAATGGATTGATCTGAGTTCCTGGACAGGTGGTGGTGTCGTCATCAATGCGACTTGCAATGTGGCTGTAGTTGGTTGGCTTGGCATAGGAAGAAAAGCTTTCTTTGTTGTCAATGGTGTCTAGCGAGTAGGACATGGAAGTGGAGAGGTCGTCGTCGTCATCTACGGGCATTGTCATTTTGTCAACTTTGGATCCAGGTGAAAACATGGGAGCATAGCTCATGGGTTCCATGGTGGAAGTGGCAGATTGAACAGATCCTTCCAAGTAGACGGAACAAGAATCGGCGACTGATTTCTGGGAAGGCGACGACGCGGCTCTAGCCAGTTTTCGTTGTTTCATGAATTTGGCAACATAGTCATCTTTGTACAGCTCGTCGTCGTCGTCGTCATCATGGACATCTCTCAAGGCAAGTTCAATACTGCTGTCTTGTGACTCAGGAGACTCGAAAGTTGGCACCTGTTGGATTCTCGCAGTTGCTGCCTTTGTAGGAGTGGATTGCGGACGAGGTGGTTTGAGATTGTCCTTGCAAGTCTTTCCCTTTTCAATATCGTACATGGCTTTGGCCACAATTTCTCGTTGTCGCTGATCTCGGCAGCAGACGACGCCGTTTTCTTGGCCCACCAAGATGCGCCATTCCTCTGCAATTTCAGGCATTTTGTTGTACAGAATCTGTCAAGAGGGAAAAGGAAACGAGATCAAAGAGTCATGAATACATCAGTTTATCACTACGGCATTTGGAAGCAGGAGAAAGTTTTTCCTCCTCTGTTGCCAAACTTCACTTACGATAAAGGCAACACACAGCATGAGGACGCCGGAAAGGATGGTGACCACATCCAAAAAGGTTGCTGCACCGGACATGGTGGTGGATTCGATTGTTGGACAGGCGAGACAAATGGAACCAGAAGAGAGAGCAAGCACAAGGAGCAAGCAAGGGCTCCTTCCAACACCAGGGGCAAATGGGAGACGGAGGAGAGGCAACCAAAAAAGGTTTTGAGAAAGATGAGGTGCATGGAGCTAGCCGTTGCATTGGCACAGAATGATCCCGACAAATAATTTGAAAATGAGTAAGCCTGTAAGGCTGTCCTTGATCCACTCTGCTGGCTTCTCCCACCAACCGTCGTCATCTCCTCCCGACCCATGACAACTCCAATCCATCCACCACTGTCGGATTGCAACTAACTGTACTAGTAGGTACAACATAAAACTGTAAATAGTAGGGAGTACCTAGCTAGCTAGAGAGGAGAAGAGATGTGCTGGATGGAGAGGCACGGGATTCATTGGAGTTGACGACGACGAAAAATTGGATTGGTTCGAAACTACCATTGATTTTTTTTTGAAGATGCAAGATGATGAGAGTCGAGATGATGGTACCATTCAACGACTTCTCATTCTTCATTTGAATCTGGCTCAAATTTGTACGGGAAAAGCCCTGGGAGAAACAGCCGCACCCGAGGAATGGGAACAACACATACTGTACTACCATCATCAAGATCAGTACGGATCTTCCAGTGTCATCAATGGTAGTACATGTAGTAGTAGTGACATCCAAAGATGGACAGTTCGTCAGGAAACCATCCAGTTTGCAAGTTTATGCATTGCCTTGAGCAACTTGCCGTCTGCCTTGACAAACAATCATCATGATAATGATCAGACGACGAGTCAGGTACACTTGGATCGGTCCACACTAGTCTTTGTTCCCCTCGAAGAGACTGCAACTCACAGCAGCAGCAACCTGGAAGTTCCCAAGATTTTGGCTGTGGTCCAAATCAGCAGTGATGGTACATGCGACCCTCTCGCCATTCGATCTGCCCTGGAACGATCGCACAAGCTATTCTGTCTGCTTCGCTATGGAGGAATTCATCTGCGTTTACAAGGGTATCCCAGCAGCTTTAATAATAGTGATGTTTCCAAACCTGACAATACCAACGGCAAAAGCAGCTGTCCTTATCCAGGAATGGACCTGCTATTTGACCAATTGAAGAAACTGCGTCGATTGAGGGAAGCCATGTATCGAAGTATGAACAAAGATTCAGAGCAACAACAGGAAGAAAGTCAACTTGTGCAAGAGATTCAGAGCCAAAAGAACAGTCTGCCCATCTCTTCACTGACGGTTGATCTCAAGTTTCACTATGATGCCTTCCTCGCAGATTTAGCCAACTCTAGATCAAGAGGGGCGGGTCGCTGTCTCGTGGAAGCCATCCCAGCTCCAATTGCTCGACCGGACGGCAGCCATGCTTCCAAATGGACTCCTTGTCAGCCGCCCGTGCATGTATCTTTTTATTTGGGGCAAGCAATAAGAGCCTTGCTACAAGACAACAATCTCCAGCTCTTTGCCGTTTCAACATTTTACCAAAGTCAATTCCTGTATCACCATCAACACGACGGATCCTTTGCCGAAGAGAACGCAGCAGCTTGCTTGCTGATGTGGTACTTTGCCTCCTATGGCTTTCAGATGAAGCAGCAACAACAGAACCAGGAACGATTTGCTGCTACGTCATCTCCGAAGCGTATCAGTGCTGGCTTGGTGTCCTTTTCCGATCAGGTATCCGTGGCATCGGCAGGAATGGGATCGTCTTTCGAGGCTCCAAACGACGATGAAGCCGACAATCATCACGACCAACGAGGCCATTTTCTCCAGACCCCACCACTGGCAATGCTGAGTGCCTCAGAGCAGAATACAATCTCTGTTCATGGGCCTTCAGGAGAACTTGTATGGGCGCCGTGGGTGTGCCACAACCATGAATCGGGGAAACCTGACATCTTACACGCATTGGTGTATGAATGGCAGGAGTTTAGCTTTCTCGTGTTTGTTCAACAACACATGGATCAATCACTTCATAAGCAGTGCGACAATTCACGATGGGACTTCGAACCTTACTCGGAAGACATGCAGGTACTGTTGGAACGAATATCGTCTGCACTGGACGACTGTTTAAATCTTTATGCAACCCAGACCCACAGCGAGGAACAAGACGGGTCCCCCGTTGCACGCCATTCGCTCCTGGAGTGCCAACAGACCCCCTTTGTCGGTTCAGTTGGTCGAGATGTTATCTTTGTGGATCGCATGAACGGTAGCATGCTCCTGTTTCCTCGTCTTGCGCCCAAAACGCCCAAGAAGAACGGCAAGAGTCCGGGGCGATTCATGCGTCTTTTCCGGCCCAAAGTCTCGGATACTATCCCAGAAACGAACTCGAGCTCAAGCCACGATCTTGTAAACTGGATGTCCGAGGGTTTGGACTGTCGTCATTGGTTGTCATCTCGTCTTTCTTCGGACGCTTTGCGAGCACTGGACGATGCCATGAATGACGTCCATGCCTACAGGCAGAGGAGGGTACGACCACACAGAAAAATCAGTGGTATAGGGAGTGGGAATTTTGAGGTGTTGACACCACTACCTATGGGTTGGATACATGCGTTTGCAGACGAACAGGACCGTGAAATATACACTGTTCTAGATGCGAGGGAATACGGTACGATGACTGAGGTCCAAATGGCCATTTCCGAGGTCCGGGCGGCTCTGATATGACGTGTTGAAAAAACCTCAGTTATGGTAGCATCATGTCACCAAACCAAACCAAATGAGAAAAGGAACTCAGTGATCGAAGATCATGGCTCGACGAAATGATTCAATCGAGTGAGTCGACAAGAGCACACCTCGGTGATCGCAAAGGCACCTACGGCGGTTTGTCTCGGACCTTGCCATACGAAACTGCTACGATGCGGCAAGACAAAGTTGGGACATTGCTAACAGATCACATAGTGACGATGCAGTGAAGCTAACCAATTTAGCGCCTGCGCTTTTTCTTTGGCATGTTGCTGTCTTTTTCATTGGATGGGTTTTCTTTCTTTTTGGGCTTTCGCCCTCTGCGACCCCCAATCTCACTGCGAATCTCCTTCATCAACTCCTCGTCCAACTCATTCTTTCCAGTGACAGGACAAAGTTTGATTCCTGTCAATATGAAACCCCCGCTTTGGCTAATGTTCATATTGGGATGAGTTCTTCCTGGCAATACCTGATATTCTCGCATCCAGGTGTCACTCAGTCTCAAGTTGATGGCTAGACTACGCCGTTGCATCTCCAGAAAACATTCGGTCAGGGGTTCAATGAACTCGCAATAGACGACAAACGGACCAGAGGGTGCCAAATACGGCAACAATCCGAGCAAGGTGGCCGTTGGGTCGGTTCGTGTAACGATAATCACGCTATCACATTTGCGTTCGGCTAGCATTTGGTTGACTTCCAAGGTTGTGTGTCGTGTCAGCTTCCGAGCAAATCGATTGCAGCGTTTGGCCAAGAAATCCTTCTTTTGCTTATCTTTTGCCATGGTTTGCATGTACTGGCGAGTATGTTCTTGTAAGGGACAAGGCCATTTCAGTTGTTCTCGTTCTTCCAATTCCGTGTCAATAGCGTCGGCGGGCGGTGGTGGTGCCTCGGTATTGTCTTCCATAAAAACATCGCCGGAATGAAGCCATTTGATGGAGTGACTTTGGGCAAACGTCAGGTTGAAGCGACTGAGCATTTCCACAAAGGCTGGTTGTTGTCCCGTGTAGACAGATAAAATGCGTCCGTATCCACCCATTCTCTCAGCTACAGCACCAGTAACGATACCCATGCAATTTTCAAAAACAAGGGCTTGACATCCCGCACTGACATTGGAATAGCTCAATATTTGGCCAAGGGTATCTTCGCGCATATTCATTAATTTTCTGGAATCCTTGATATAGAGTGCCTCGCAGATTGTGTATGCTGTGCAGCGCACCATCCGGCAGCGTGGTTGATACTTCTTCTGTTTTCTTAGAATGTACTTTGCTTTGCTAAACTCGGTCTTGTTCTTGAAAGAAGAAGAATTTTCAATGAGCGCCTCCACAATTTCAGACCCATGAGCTCCTTCTTCACGCAGCTGTCTCAGATCGTCTTGATCCATAGCTTGGGATTTGTCACCCATCAATAAATGTCGATTATCGTTGTCTTGCTGAATGGGTGGAAAGGTGGTATCCTCCATTTCGTTATCCTCGGCTACAGCCACGTCTGCTCCACCCTTGCTGTCATCAGTTGCTGCTGTTGCTGCTACCGTGGCAACGGCATTTTCAGCAATGTAGGGATTGGAGGGAATCACCTCTTCACCATCCGGCAGTGGAACCAGACCGGATTGTCCAAGCTCCAAAACCTTTCCGTATTTCAACCCCACCAACTGCCAAGTGTGGTACGAGCGCTTGTGGATCTTGACGGGGGTGGACTTTCCTCTAGCACGAGTCTGACATTGCGCAAAGAACTTTCTTCCGTCTCCGAACGCCAAGATTACATACTCCCCATCGCGAACCACACCACTTTGTACTTCCAAGCGGGGATCCGGAACGCTGCTGTCATTATTGTTCTCGGCTATTGCTGAAAGCGATGGATCTTTCGATTTCTCTTCGGCTTTGTCTTGTGGTAGCTCTGGTTGTGGTTGCGTACCATTGTCAGTGGACATGGCAACCTACACGCTGCACATATACAATGTAAAATATGGGATTACAAGCTGCACTCTTCGGAAGAGGATTGTGTGGATGGGGAGTTGCGCATCAAAACGACGGGACGAGACTTGATCTGGCTACAGTACTAGTACAGTGTAGCTGGGTATCCGTCTGTCAGGCACAAAGATTCTGGGTGTCAGCTCGATCGTGGGGATTCATCGTGGATTGTGGGGACTTGATGTTCAAAACTCTTCATTCTCATGCCTTCTCAACGGTGTAGCGAAAAATGATCTCTAGCTAGCTCAGTGCTCCTCGCAGGTGGATGATTTGTGCTGAACTGAGCACCATGACGTTTGGATTTTAAAAGAATGAGGAAGGACAATGACCTCCTAGGAGGACAACTTATTGGCACCAAAAACGTCCTATTCCTCCAGTCGAAGATTGGCCAGACTCAACCGAATTCATCGACAAGCAATCACAGCGAGAATCAACTTACTTATCCTATAAAAGGCTGCGGGCAGTTTTGCAAAGCTTGCTCACTGGTGCTGCCAATTTGCCGTCGTTCATAGAAACGGGGTGATACATAACTAATTTTTATTTCCTCTTTGGCTTAGCCTTTTGATCGGAACTATTGCAGACCACACTATCTCCTGGAACAATCGACTTGATGGTCAACGATTACCGTACTGCGAAGGAAGGGGCTGGTAGCCTATGTGGAGTCCGCTAGCATGCACTTTCACCACATCTACTAGAAGACTCGCCAATTCTCACTTCTCCTCCCACGTCAGGCGTGGCTAGCTAGTACCGGTACTGGTATGATATTGGAGATGCTGCGATCACCATTACTTTAGTACTGTACATGTACATGTTCCGTCTGCTCGCACCGCTCAGATACATTGTTACATCGACCGTGGGGACTCACCGTGGATGCAGTTTTACAAAAGGCAACCAACGATGCCACCAAACACCAGACGCTAGGAGAGTAAAATGCAGCCGAAAAAAACCAACCAGACCGCAGGCACTGCAGAAACCAGCATGGGATCACCAGAGGAGAATCTGAAGAATAAGGCCACTCTTTTGCTCTGTGACACAAGGAGTGCGACCATGATGGTGGACCTTGTACTCTTTATTGGAGGGATCATCGGTTTTTCTTACCCTTGAATCTTTGACAAGTAGTATGGAGCTGAAGATGACAAGCATGTACTATGGTCCAGCACTAATAATAACAATTTGGATTCTTTTTGGTGGTGTCTTTTTTGGCTCAAGGGTGGGGCCTATTTCAGAGCATTGTGCGTCATGGGCATAGGGCTCCTCAGCATACATACATGTAGAATACAGAGAAGCCTGCTGGCTAGTTTGAGAGCTATTCGTCAGGCGCTCCTATTTGCGGCATCCTCTGGCCCCACTACAACACCCATAGCCTTACCGATACGTAGTACCAGGTACCGCTACTATTAATAGCCAGCTGGGACAACTCTTGTCCACCCGAGACACGAAGCCGGCTGATGCTTCACCATGGTCTTGGATATCTATGCAAACGAAATCAGTGGTCATACAGTCTCCATCACCACAACCAACGACCAATCTATGGAGTGGTTGCCACAGAAGAGGCGTGGCAAAATCCCTTTCCGAAACAAATGCTGATGCAACTACATGTACTGGTTGCATGTGGCTGATGATGGTGCCATCTAAATCTTCGTTGCACGGCCGAAAGCGTCTTCATTCCTCGCTTGCCACAGGATGACCACCGAAAATTCGTTCCACGTGCGCTGATAGCTATGGTCGCCGACATGCAAGGAGTGGACATCACTCGACACAAGGCTGCATGCATTTTCATAGTAGGCCAGCGCATCGTGCCCACAACAGCACACACTGGAATCAGTTTCAATTGCGAAGAAGAGAGATGCCAGCAAAGAAGCGATCCAACAAGAAGAAAAAAGGGAAAGCTTTTAGTTGAGGGAAAATTAGTTTTGTCTTCACCTGTTTGGCTACACTTTTTTTGCATGAAGGGTTGCTGATGAGACATTTTCAATACCATTGGATGTGCTGTTGACGCCATAGACATGACAACTGCAGGTGCACCCACACAGCATTGGGCTGCAATCAAAGTCAAGTATGGGAAGCACACAGAGAGTCTCAGGAACAGTTCCAGATATCATTGTGTCTGTGATGTTTAGGCTAGGTAGATCCCAAGCATCTTCCACTGTGAAGTTCCAATGGGCTGGAATGGTGCCTGTCAATGGGTTACCATGTGCATTCAGCTGAAAGAGTCCTGGACCCAATTCATTGGGGAGAGAGCCTGAGAGGAGATTGTTCTGAAGTATTAAAACATCAAGTGGCAAGAGGCCAAATTCTGAAGGGATAGTTCCTTGTAGCCTGCTGTTGCCAATCATCAAGACAAGCCAGAATGGAGCACCCTCCCAATTCTGTTGGAATGCTCCCTGATAGCAGAGTGGAATAAGCCACAAAGACATTCAAACTTGACATGAGTCCCAACTCTGTGGGCAAAGGTCCAGTGATTTGGTTGTCAGCCACATAGACATGGTACAAGGCACCGAGGTGGCCCAACTCAGTAGGAAGAGACCCAGTCAAGCTGTTTCTCTCTAAATATAGCACAAACAGATCAGTGGACTGTCCAATCTCTGTTGGGACAGAGCCAGAGAAGTCATTGTCCTCCAATGCTAAATATGTAAGCGGCAAGCTGAATATGGAAGCAGGAATAGAACCAGTCATTTGGTTCAGTGTCAAGGCAAAGTCTTTCAAGTTTGATGCATTGCCCAGCTCCGTTGGGATTGTCCCAGTGAAATGATTCTCATCAACCACTAGGAAATTCATTTGATGTAACAAACCCAGCTCTGATGGTAGGGTGCCCTCCATCCGGTTGATGGAAAGGGTCAGCCGTCTCATTGTGTTGGACAAAAGTCCCAGCTCTGTTGGGATTGTCCCCGTTATCTGTGAAGTGGTGAATGAAATGCGTTCCAGGTCCGTGAGTCTTCCAATGTGGGATGAGATAGAGCCAGCAAGCGCATTGTTGAAGAAAGCTACGTTTTGAAGCCCAGTCAGCCAATAGAACTCCAGAGGGACGGCTCCTCGAAGCCCATTGGATTGAAGCCACAGATTCCTGTACAACAAGCCATTGTCTTCCACTGACACACTTTGATTCATCGTTAATGGGAGCGCACATGCGCTGGGATGAGTAATTCTTTGATTGAGATTGGATTCCAAAATACCAGGATTATGCTTGCCGTCGTCGACTAATCCATTGCGGGAGAACCAGAGACATTCGTGCACTGAATGATTCAACCAGTTAGTGCTGTCCACCCATTCATCTCCATTGGTTGCATAATAGAGCGTTGCCAGAGCAAACCGCTGTAGAGATCTGTTGTTGGGAAAGGTGAAGTTGTTGATTTCCAAATCTGCCTCCAGCCATTGGTTTGCCAGAAATTGAGGTGAGTCAGTTTCCATTATAGCCTCCAAGGTGTGGTTGGGAAACGTTTCGAGCGTCCATTGCTCATACCAGTCAAACGCAAGGCTCGAGTCATTTCCAGCGTTCGAGCCGGAGGCCTCCGCGGTGGCGCTGTCTTGATCCGTCTTGGGGTCGCTTGCTGGTGACTCTTTCTTACTTCCCAGCACTAGAACAAGCACGAGCACCAGGACACCAAGACAAACGATCCAGGCCAAAAAAAAGGGCAGTGAGCCCAGTGTCTTGTCACGTTGTTCGCGTCTCTCGCCTTCCGGCTGGGCAGTTGGAAGGTTCAAGTTGCCGTCCACAGTGGATGCAACCGGCAGCCCTTCCACGTCTTCTTCTAGCGTCGTCTCGGGTGCCTCGGGTACCACCATCACATCTTGATTGGAACCACCAATTCCTTCCACGTGATAGGCCCCCGGACCAGGAAGTTGAGGGGCCAACACTTGGAGGGGTCTACCGACGGAATCATTGGAGCTTGCTGCATCGGCGGCTAGACCTCCCAATGGCGTGACAACTTTCTGCTCCAGCTTTCTATGGAGGTTGGCGAACTGCTCCAGGGCCGCTGTATCTGTGCCTAAACCTCCCTCGGGAGGTTCTGCGGCAGAGGCGGTGCCTGTCGGTGGCGCGACAGCTTTCTCCTCCAGCTTTCTGTCGAGGTTGGCAAACTGTTCCAGGGCCGCTGTATCTGTGCCTAAACCTCCCTTGGGAGGTTCTGCGGCAGAGGCGCTGCCTTTCGGTGGCGCGACAGCTTTCTCTTCCAGCTTTCTGTCGAGGTTGGCAAACTGTTCCAGGGCCGCTGTATCTGTGCCTAAACCTTCCTCGGGAGGTTCTTCGGCAGAGGCGGTGCCTTTCGGTGGCGCGACAGCTTTCTCCTCCAGCTTTCTGTCGAGGTTGGCAAACTGCTCCAGGGCCGCTGTATCCGCGCCTAAACCTACAGGAGGAAGGTCGCCAGCCTCCAAGCTCCACGCTGGTTTATCTTCTTTGCGCAAATCTTCCATTGCTTCTTCCCTTCAAATTTTGATATGACTCTGACTCTGATTGCGAGGGTGGGACAAGTTGGTGGTAATACCTACCAGGTACTTTGCAACTATGCATCCGTAGCGTACTGTAGCCAATATATGACGAAGCCACAAGTTGGATCGTTTACTGGAGTATCCTACGTACTAGTACCGGTATGTAGAAAGCTACGGCCCTGGTAGTGAAGATGCCTGAAAGACTTAAGGACCACTCCTTAAAACTACTCAGGCGGTGGTGGGTGGTGGGCATGTGGGCATCAAGCATCTCAAGCATCAAGCATCAAAGTAAGTGTGCTGGATCAACTTGTGTATGTAGCTTACTAGCGTAAAAGTATTAGTTTGTACTCAGTACCAGAGACGTAGCTTTCTACATACTGTACGCGTTCGCGAGATCGGAAGAGCCAGTATTATAGTTAAATAGTAGTACTCCAGTAGTACTAGTACTCGAGTACTCGCGAACTTTTTTGCTAGCAATTTTGTCCCCCACTGTACAAAAATAGTACTGAGAAACAGGATGTAATCATTGACATATTTTATTGGTTTATAAGCAGTGCCCGAGAAGCCCCAATTGGGTCTTCGAGTCGGTGGTCTGTACTTGGAGTATTTATTTGAGCAGACGGTCTGTCCTATTTACTGTACACTGTACAGAACAAACACGGCAACAAAAGATCCTTTGAAGAATGAGTCAGTGCGTCGTCGGAGAAGGGGCGGGGCAACATTGAATATGAGTGCTCCAAAGAAGACCAAGTACAGCTGTACAGTATTAATAGTCGGGAGTCGGGAAAGCGTCAGCGTCAGCGTCCTCAAGGCTCAAGGCTAAGGAATTAAACATCTCCGTGGGCATCTCAAATCTCAATCGATCGAGTGAAGTAAGCTGTGAAGTAATAGAGAGCGCCTCGCCACTCGCCACCACCCACCACCCCTGACTCGGAGACAGCAGCTAACGTTGAAGTGACTCCTGATATGAGTTGCATTCTTGATAGAATGGAGTGTTGGGGATATTACCACAGCATTGAGTGGTACAGTGGTACAGTATTGTTCTTGACATCCTAGCCAACATGGTTGAAGAGGACCAACCTACAAGAAAGGAGAAGATGTACAAACAGTGCATTTACTGGAGAGATAGGACCAGGGCCCATGCAACTTATTAGTATGGCTCTCTTGGCCATGATGCAGTGATGACTTACTGGTCTAACTGGTTTGACAGGACCTATCCAATTGTCAAAGTCTCTTTCAGAGTAATGACACTGATGAGTGAGGATTTTGTTAGTGATATCATTACTTACATCCAGACAAGAGGAATTGTTCCTTACCCTCCAATCATGGATGGACCTGATTCCATTACTAGCTCTGAAGATTGAGACTGGAGAAAGAAGACAAGTCTTTGTTGGTGTTTGTTATCCAGTTGGTGAAATAGTAATAGTAACAGTAACAGCAGTATAAGAAAACATACCTTAATGTCCCACCATTTTGCCACCCATTTCTGCCTTCTCCCAATGATGTGTTGGCAGTGTACAGTACTGGCCAAACAGAAACTTACCAGTGTCATCAGTGGCATGGTGTACTTTGGTTTGCCTGCACTTCCCACAATAGTCTCTGCTGCAAGTCCTTGCAACTCCCTCATCTTGGACAACATGGTTGCTCCTTTTGAAGCCACACTTCTCACAGAACATCCTGCTCCCAAATACACATCGGACTGGTGGTGGCATTGGCGCTGCTGGTTGAATTGGTGGTTCAGCCACTTGGAATCTTGTGGTGCTGTCAGTGATAATTCCTTCTGTAGTGGTGTTATTGACAGTGGTTGGATTTCCAAGAGGGACTCCTCCACCAAGATTGTTGTAGGCTGTTGGTGCCACAGTTGCAGGCGCAGCTGTAGCTGGTAGCTGCCGCCTGTTAGATCTCATTGTGTCTTGCAACCGCTCTCTGTCTTCATCATTTGCTCTTTTGGTGCTGTAAGCTGGAGGCTCTCCAGTTCCCTTCGCTTTTTGTAGTACGTTTTCACGGGCAGCCGAATCCGAAAGTGCTTCCCCTCTGAATCTGTCAATACAAGAACAAACAACACTAATAGCAACAAAGACAACAAACTGGTCATCTCTATACCATTACACTACCTATTATTAGTACCATTAGAAGCATTGAAACAAAGCGAAAGGACCTCCGGAAGCCTGTTTTCTGTTATCTTGTTGAAGAGTACTGTTTTACTAAGGAATCCACTCAACGTCATCACGGAAAACAAACCTCCTTTTCCTCTCTTTACATCTCATTCAAGCCCTCCGATTGACAGGATCGATACCTCCTATCCGCCTCCTATCAAGCGCACCTCCTCCATCAAGCAACTATCAATCCGACGTTCTCCGATTCAGATTAGAAACCCCTCCCAATTGAAATCATACCAGTTCGGGTGGGTTTTCCATTCTCGACCGCCAACGGCCAAGTCGGAAGAATTTGAACACAAGAAGAAGTCTCCGGTTTTCAGTTGACTCAGAAGTTCAGGCTTCCTCCATACTCTGCAGTGACCCGACATTTCTCTTACTAACGACGGCCGACGAAATCCCATTGTCGATCTTCGAACGATCTTCTTCCTCAACAACAACAGGCTCGGTTAATCTTCACCTTCAGGTGGTCGCACCCAGGATCTAAGCCAGCTGAAAAGCTGCATACGTATCAGCATTCTTTCGCACAAATGTTTCGTATAAATTTCAGAACAAATGGTGGTCCACCACAACAAACGATCAACCACTCGCTCGAGTTTTAAGAGAGCCCCATTATCTTGATGTCCGCTGCTTCGCAGGGCTTATTGCTATGGCAGGTCTTCTTCCTTTGACTATAAGGAGTACTGTAGGCCCTGGTCTTATGCCCATACTTCCAGCATGCATCGAGATATAAGGGCTTGAAGCAGCCGATTCAAAAAATTGATCGCTGTTCTGACACGAAGTCAACTTGGATCAAATATCACTCTATAACCAACAACGTACCTGTAGCTGGTACTATTAGCAACAGCTCTTGTACTGTCAACAGGTCGATCGCCGACACTGACAGCTATTCCAGCACGCCTTTAGCAGCAGATGTCGAACGACGGATGATGTTGTCGTTCTCGCGATAGCACCGTGTAAAAGATTGTGTTTTATTGACTGCTTTTGGCTGGCTTACATCCTGGGTGCGACCATCTTAAGGCAACCTGGACACACTGAATAACCCGGACACACTGAATCGCGAATCCTCCGAATCAAATCGATTTACCAAACCGAATCGATCCAAGACCGCAACGTACCTCTTCTCCATACCTCTTCCTCCATACGGATCGAACGACAGCCTACTATCACCAAGAAGGATTTCACGAGATACCTACAGTGACTGTCGAGAAGAGAAACACACTGTATTTCTTACTTTCTCACCGGCCACTCTTGGCTTCGCCCGACGTCCTTGTTGGCTGACCCAAGCTACTCAGTCCTATCCCTATACCAACTGATTCATTGATACCTGCTACTATTACTACCACTCCTCCATTGATATATAACTCCTCTCCAACAGGAACATCACTTTAGCGTGGCACCGCTCTGTTTTGTCATCCGCTTGAAGGCCTCCAGCGAAGAGTGCAATCAGGCAGAATTTTGCGAATTTCATCCTGTATAAGCTCTCTGTTTTTCGCTTATAAATCGATTGCACCCATTCAGCCAGATCGATTGTGCAATACACGGCTCTTAGCCTTATTCGCGACTCGATCCTAGATAGGGTTTGAGTTCGACTCATGACGCAGTCCTTCGCGAATAGTCATTGAGACAGGGTTCTCATGACTGCTAGTCATACTAGGTTGTCGATGGAACATCGCTCTAGATATTTAGCCGGCATGGAAAGCTTCCTCGCTACTAGACAGCAACTAGCTGAAGTTTCCACGTGTTCCGGAAATGGACCGTGGAGTACGTAGAGTTATTACCATAACCTACGATATCACACTTCGAGGCCTCCCGCGGGAGACCAACTTCAATGAGCTTCACAACGATCTCTCTCATGGATTAGTTTTCGTAGCTTTCTAATCTCTCTCATTGTTGGGGATTCGCGATTAGGGATTCAACCCCTGTACCTCTGTACTAGAATTTCACAGTAGAAATACAGAGCCCACCCACTTTTTCAGTAGTATCTCAATAGCAAGTAAACTAGAAGAGAGCTTAGAGCAACTAACATACTACTGAAAAAGTACTGATATCGTCGACAATAGCAGTGGTCTGTATCGAAGAGAAGGAGTCTACCAAAGCAACGAAGCCAATCGGCAGCAAGAACAAGCACGGATCGACCGAGTACGGATCGGCTGACGCCGTCGCGACGCGAGAAGAAGATCGTCGACGACGACGCGAGTACAAGACCGATACAAGACCAGGAGACTGTCATTCGACAGCAACAAGAGAAGCCCTTCAGAGCGACTGAAGGCATTTGAGGACGGATCAAGACCGCGACGACGCAACGAGCGACGACGCGACGAGAGAAAGATCAGCCGACAGAGGATCGTCGTGCCGAGAGGAGACTGCAGTCGACGACGACGCAGCAGCAAGAGTTTCGTCGGTAGAATCCACAAGGATTACCGGCAGGAAGGATGCTTGGCAAGGAAAGCCAACAACAAGCGCGAAAGCCATAGAGCCAGCACAGGGACCAAGGACGGGTACCCAACCAAGGAAACAATCAGCAAGGAAACGGGTTTGGAAAGGCCACGACCGCACAGTGTGTGAAGCAATCGGGCCCACCCTTACAAAATCCTTAGCACTAGTTTTAACACTCCCTAGCCAGGAAATTTGAAGTTTATCGCCCCATAGCCAGAAGACGAATAAGTAGTAAGACGAGAACTTAAAATAAAGAGCTAGCCAAATAAAATAAAATAAAGAATTGAAATAGTCCACCTACCGTAGCATAGAAAATGAGCGGTAGAGGTAGAGGAAGGAGTGGCCGAGGAGGCAGAGGACAAGGAGGGCATGGAAGATCCAGCCCATCGT